AACTTGAGGATAAATTCACCAGGATTACTGCATCATTAATGGAACTGCAACAAACTGAGCAAAAGTTACGACAGGAACTTGCAAGTAAGTCGTTATTCCTTTCTTTTTCTTTCTTAGAACGTTTATTCCTAGGCAATTAAGATGAATCACTTTATTTTCGTTTTTGCTTGTATTTGAATAATAAGCTATGGGTTTCAAATTTTATCGATACTGTGATGAATAAAGGAAGAATAATGAGGTTTTTTACCTGTTCTTCAAACTTCAGGAACTAAGCATGGTATTTCTCAGAAGTAGTTTTCTACTAACTACCTAAAACAGTGTAGAAATTTGAGTAAGCGAATGAGTAGTTTTGTGATGTAGTGTGGTCATTTTTATAGAATGCAAAAGCATAGTTTGTCATTTATGTTATAATCTAATATTAATATTTGAAATATAACATTGTGGCTCACTGTTTCAAGCTACATCAATTTGTAAGCAAATATTACTGTATACTTTTCAAATAGAAAGTCGCACTCTTAATTGAGTCGAAAGACAACTGATTAACATACATCTATAGTCAAAGAATTCCGTTTAAGCCTCTAGAAGTTTTTCATTCCTTCAATAAACCATCTAGCGTAATATTTACTCTAGTCAGCTAGTGTCTAAAATCCTATCATAGGTGTAATATTTATACATCCAATAATTTAATCCATAAAATATTGGTGTGATGAAGTGAGTGTCAAATCAGTCTTCTATTTCGGTCGTACTCATACCTCTTCATTTAATTCAGAGACGAACAAATACTGGATAGTGTTTTTTCTTGAAGTATTAAATCAAACTATTTTTTAAATCTTCAAATGTAGTATCTGACATTATATTAGGTTTTGTTGTCAAATAAATGAATCATTTTATCTCACAGGAGTAAATTATTTACATGAATGCAATAACAAAAGTTTGTTTTGGTTACAAAAAACTGAAGAACTATCCCTAAATAACTAGAATGGAACCAGTTAGCTGAAGAACAGACTTTCTATATGAATACAATCAAAACCTAGACGCACTACAAAGGATTTATGAACTTTATTTGTTCGTTCTTTAGTACATAATATTTATGTTGAAATTTTTAAGTAGATATAGGAACTAATTTAATATCAAAACTAATAGGCCGTAAATGAAAGACAGAAATGGGTATTAAGCTGACCTCATGTAACCATATGTGTTTTACGAAGTGAAACTTTCTAAGCTTGTGTGGTAGACGTATGTTATAGAATTAGATCGTATGGGAGTTGTTTTTGTTTGAATCAATCCCAGACAGCTTCCGTATTAATGTTCACAGGGTTTCAGAAAAGATGGTCAGATAGAGATATCAACTTAAAGCTGAGCTTAAAGGTGCGGAAGTTCAAGTTACGATATCATATAGCTTCGTGCAGAGAAAAGTGGATAAAGCAGAATGACACTGAAATAAACGAAAGTCTAATAGTAGAGAGAGGATAAGACTTAGATAATGACAAAGAATACCACTGTGATCAATTTCGAGCCATATCACCAAGTCTCCAACCACTGGTTTCTAGTGTCTTCCTTTTGTGGCTGAGATAAGCAGTCGTAGACTTCATAGACTAGTGCCACTTCTTGATCTGACCATCTCTAACTTTTTTCAAACCTATTGCTTATTTCAAAAAGATTATGCTTCAAGGTAGACAATGGCTCACTCAGTATATACGGCACCTGTCCAGCCCAACTTGGTCAGTGACGATGCACTGGATGGCATTCCTTGTATTGCCTCTCTTGCTTAGTTCTCTGCACCTGACCTCAGTATTGCTGATAGAGTGATTCTGTCACATACAAACAACTCTATTAAAATATTTATGATTAAAGTTTATTAAGCGTTATGCGCAATAATTATATACCTTGTTGTTTTACAATTTCAGAAGCTGTTCCGATATTAGTTCATCGTGATTTGGAAAAAAGGAATACAGAATTAGAGCAGACTAATTTAAAACTTCTTCATGAAATTGAACAGCTGAAAGAAGTCGCCTTAATTTCTATGAACCAGCACCAGAACTTAGAAGATCAGCTAAACAGTCAGACGATTGAGATACAAAACCTACGTGAACAGGTGGTTGAATTAGAATCCAAAGATGATTCTAGAGCGAATCTGGCCCGCTTACATCGTCTTGTGACACGAATGCAGGTACGATAATACTTGCCTATCATCTAAATGAACACAGAGACCACCTACTGGGTTAAAAGCTAAAGCTACCATCTTGATAAACGAAAGCGAATATTTCTAGTGTCTTTAATAGGTGTAGTAATGTCTTGGTTGCATTGCCAAGTAAGTACTGATGATGTCGTCTAGAAAGACGATGAAAGCTTCACATTTAAACTACCCAGCTCAGATAACACAATACAACCAAGACCATCCATATGAGCTATAAATATTCTCCATTATTTCAAAATCATAGGAGTAGTAATGTACTAATACTTCAAGAGATGGTTCCTGCGATGAATTCTTGCAGCTAGCTTAAAGCTTCACCATAATGAAAAAAAACAATGAGCTGACAGAACGTATTACTATGTAACTACAGTGCTAGTTTTCTCTATTCCATAACAGTACTAAAAGTACTAGTACTTCGGTCATTATTTCAAGCTGTCAAACAATAAGTTCAGTAGGAATCTTTATCTAAAAAAAGAAGATAGGAGAGTATCATGTAGCTTTGCTGCCATACTTTTCAGAAGTTATACAGTGCCTTAGTGAAAAAAAATACTAGCTATCTTTTATAAAAACAAGACTGTACCATTTATTATAATTATTTGTACTTTCAGTTCCTAGTGGAACATAGAGCTTCAGTAGCATGTCGCCATTGCATTCTGCTCTCTCCAGTCTCTTCAATCTGGCTACACGACTACCCACAAGCTTTCATTTCTTTCTCACACTATCTCCACCATGTCACCCTCTCCTCGGACGCCAAACTCGTCGTATCCCATTTGGATTCCACTCGAGGGTCTGGCCTTGCATGTGATGTCCCCAAGTGGTCTTCTCAGTGATTGTCCAATTCCATCCATCTCCACTTTCTTCTACTGCATATTTGTTGGGCGATGGGTTCTTCGTCGGTTGGTTCGTTGCCAGCCAGCCAGCCAGCCATCTCCCTCTCCCTCCTCTATCAGCTTCCATGTTAAGATCCGTGGAGATCCATTACTTATCTTGTTTCCTCTTCCATCCTAATACGGTTATACAGGTTTCTTTCCACATGGCTTTCAAAGAGTTCCAGTGTTCTTCAACACACGTTTCTTCAGCAATGTTGATTAATGTCTCCCATTTTGTCCTGATGGCTGACTGATGTGAAGATGTCCTTTGTAGTTTCGTCCTCCAGTTCAGTTTTTGTTCTGGCTGTTGAACTGGAATTGTGGTCCATCAGTAGCTTGTTTGAAGGCTTTCAACTTGATTTGTAAGGTAGTTTAGGATTCGTCCTGATGCAAACTTGACAGACACAAAGACCAATCACTAATTATTCGGACTTGTTATATAACCACGAATACGAGATCAAGGAAGAACACGATAGTATGTTTGGATGGTTGTGCCAAGATACCGATGCGTTCCAACTAACTGGCTAGAGAGTCGAATACGAGCAATGCAACGTAACATGACAGCGTGCCAAATGGCGAGGATGCTTGACCGAGTGTCTTCAGCTTAGCGAGTCCAGTTAAACTATCAAGGTCAGCATAAATGTCGAAGTCGTCAAACCCTAGGCAATTGATTTTGGGGAAGTGTGTGACGCTACAGTAGGTTCCTTGCACTAGGTAGTGAGTGGTGTGAACATGCGTCTATTCCTCTTCTTGATCTTGTATCCAGTAGGCTGCGTCTCCACTTTCTTCAGATCGAGATGAGATGAGAGCCTTGCCAGCCAGCCAGCCAGCCAGCTTCAAACATTGTGTGGACATTTCATGTCCCTTCGCTTACTTTCGTTTTCATCGAGAGAGGAGAAGACACATCAGCTAATTGGCTTCTCGAAGGCTTTCACCAACCGGCGTCATTTCGCCTCTCCGATTCCAGAGAGGAATAAGTTCAGTTTTATGTCTTATATTTTCTTTGTGCTTTAAAGTTTCTTTATCGGTTAGATTGGTTTTCCGAGTTAGGGTTGGTAGCCATATGCCCAACCTTCCTTCTTTATCCGAGCTTAGGACCGGTTAGTAAACTGGGCGATGTTAGTGGGACTGTTCATAGAAGGTAAATTCAATCGCAGATGCTTATTTTTCAGACTAGTAGCAAATGTCAAAGATTGACTTTGAACCTCGTTTTCAATGAACTATGTGGATAAAATCTTGAACTTTGGTCATTGAGAAATCTCTACTTCTGAAAGGAATGGAATATTCCTTTGAAATTATGCGAAATATATCCACAATGAGGACATGATAACTTGTGAAATTTGATTCGAAAGTCTTGTAATATCAGTAAACTTAAAAGTGTTAGTGTTATATTATAGGAATAAAGGTAGCCAAGGAAGTGAACCGAATACAAACTAAAGTTTAGAATTTTCTCACACTAGCTGCTTTTCTTATCCGAAATTATTTCGGGATCACCACCAATCTACTATACTTAGTAAGTAGTATGATTGAAAACCCATTCAAAATAAGTATTGCCCCAGATAAGTGCGTTTTGTAAAGCATACAGATAACCTGAAGTCACTGTGGTTTATTTGGCATTTGAAGAGGATGCCTTTTGGATCAAATACTATTTCCCGAAAATTTATAGCGTCTAAGCTGTTGTTAGCTATGTTCATATAATTTGACAAAGCATAGCGGAACGGAAAGCTAACAAGATGATTAAATTAACGAGGAAGAAAAACGTCTTTTATGTAGGTGATTGTTTAGACTGGTAACACTCTCCTTAGCTGTATATTGGCAGAATACCTCTGCTCTTTTCATTTCATCGATTCGTAGAGAATGGGCCTTATCACAAGACTGCGAATGTTTCAGGGTTACAGTAAACAAAAGGTATCAGCACTCAGGTAAATACTGAATAACTTAAACTAAGAATATTAAACGTTGGAATCAAATTTGAAGGGATGAGAAGATTTTCCAGAATATTGTATCAGCGAACAGTGGGTTAGGTAGTAGCACTATCGAATATTTATCTGACCAAGATTTCACTGGTGTGCAGTACTTTTATGAATTCAAAGTACTTGACCAGGTATATAAAAACTTCACACAAAATACTCTCTCAGTCCGTGTAGTCTAAAAAACAAAACACGTTATTTATACCACATAGAAAGATGATGACAACAACCTTTCATAATTATTTTTTTTTACCTGATATTATAGTTTTATGCTCATCTTCTTAACTATAGATATCCGAGTCGACTGCACTACGCCGTCTAGCATCTACCCAAGTAAAAGTAAATCGTTTGGAAACGGACTTGCTGAAAACTGAGAAGCGACTAACACAAAGAGAAAATGAGTTGACTTACTTGTATAACAAGTCACGTGAGCGTGAAAGAAAGTTACGTGAAACAATCACAGTAAGTCATACTTTAAATGAATAATATCACAATGACATTTAACAAATATAATCGACTACTGCAGAGATCTGTGTCTCGGCTGTGAAGTTGCATTTATAACCAGTTAAAAGTTAATTCCTTGCACTGTAAATTTGCTAAATCAAGAAGGGTATGACAGAGTTGTTGGTGGTGGTGGTGACAATGGAAATCGATTGAATTTGACAAACATGTAAGGTTCACTGAAAAAAAAGAGTTGAAATCAAGAGGTAAAATATAGGCTAAGTGCTGTTTATAATGATGATCAGGCTGAAATACACAAGGTTAGGTGGAGCAGTGCTAACCAAAAATGCATTGTTACTGGCTAGATAAGGAAAAGAGTTTCATGAATTGCTTTTAAGAGCAGAGTTCAAACATTTTATCATACATAGCCAGTACTACAACCATATGTATGGGTTGAGAACACAGACCGTTGAAGCAGTTCAACACAGCTCTGCAAATCACGTTTAAAGATGAACCACCGCAAGCTAAATGACTTAATTTCATCAGATGCTTACATATGGAAGTTGTTTCTCACTCAACCTTGTTTAGCCGAACTGAGTAGTGTTCGGTGGCGCATTTACGGAATATCCACTTACAGAAACCAATATAGTTAGCTCCACAGGTTGTCACTTGTGTCTGCAGTTATATATATCTATCAATTCGTGTGCTGCTGTGTATTTTGAATATATTTTAGGGATAGGTTTTATTTAGAAAAACAAAATTGTGTCACCAATCAAAAACAACTTAAGAAATAGGACTGTAAATATTCATATGACTTTTTACGACTTTAAATAATGAAGTGTCATGCTTCCTGTTGACAGTGATTGACTAAAAATCCATGGTACCATCACTTTTATAAATGTGAATCTTAGTTACTAGAACCACTGAACTCCCTTAGTTATGATTAAAGATGAATGGTAATCAGTCCGTAAAGAGTTAACGATAGATTATTTTCTTACACAGTGTATGTTGTTTTTTTGCTTTCACTAAAATATGTTGAATATATCAGAGAGCTAGTTGTGTTCTTTAAATTAAAATACTATTACTCTTTGTTTGACTCATTTTTATCGAGGGAATAGTTTCAAAAGATTAGTTGCTACATCATTGCAGTAAAGGCAAATAAATCCTTTTGTGGTTTTCTGATTTGGTTAGCGTTTTCTCATACATGCATTTATTTGCAGACTATAAGCTTAGAGAATCAGTAAAAGAATCTCCTCTATATTTGATGTAAATATATCATTCCAGGTTGATAGTATTATCTTTCATCTTTCTGATAAACAAACAACAAGTTGTGCAGTAAAAGTTGTCTCAGAATACTGAAGACACCTTTGATGTGCATGCGATTTCAGACACCGCTCTTAACAGTAAGTAGCATATTTTAGATTCAGTAAAAATGATTGGGACATTGAACGGGTATTTCGCTCGTTCTCATGTGATCATATATAAAGTGTTTTCTAGTATACGCAGATAAGAGAGTGTGGCTACCAATTTTCTACAAGTGTGAACCTTTTTGAATTATGTTTTCTTACGCATAAGTATTCTAAGTTTTAAAGGCTGATTTTCCTAATTTTTTGATTTTTTTGCCACCACCACTGGACTGACTACTTGTCATTTTGTTCACGGAATTTAAGTTAACCAGTCAGTGAAAAGAAATCAACACGCAGAAAACAATTCTTAAACCTCATACCATACCTATGACAATTAGAAACCGAAAAGCTCAGTCTCAGCTTGCCAGCTAGTTTGACTGTTTATATTTATTCTGGGAAACCGTTCATGATGAGTTAAAACCTACGTTTTACTTGAATCTCGAGCATAATAACTCTTCATGAATGTATGGTCAGCGAGATAGGTGAATAGTGAGATTATCAATAAACTCTTGCATCGAAACCTTCTGTATCTGTTACTGTTGTCCATCAGGTGAATAATTACTTTGCTGCTTGTTTGACCAAAGCATTTTACTAATTTTAAACATTTCACTACCTATCAAAGATCTATTTATACTAATAATCAAAGTGGCATCACATTTCTAAGGTCCTCGGTGAACACGATTGCCAAAAACTGGATGAGACTAGTCAATGAAGCTTGATAAACTAAGAAACACATGTTCAAGTGTCTTCCTGGATACCTCCGATATAACAGGATCTGTTTCGAATGTTTTATAACCGTGTTGCCATTTTTGTATAACCTTATTGTCACTCGTTATATTCTTGTACTGACTACATGATACAACATGAATTTTATATATACGCAATAACTTTAAAATCCCACCTCTTGATGGTAGCTCAGTTTTCTCGGTAAATGGAAAAGGCGGTGAGATAAAAGAGGGTGTATTGCAATGTCAAGGTATACACTTAATGCAATGACTTATATATGTTTACACTGTCCTTGGCTATTTTCAGACCTTTCTAGATTAGAATATACTATTGATTTTTGTCTCTTCAACCAATCTGTTGGTCCCCGTGCTGTCGCTCGAAAATTCGGAGTAACACAATTAGTTGTAACAGGCTTCAGGGATCTATGGTTGTTTATGAAAATTATGGTAATCTTATTCTACACTATAACAGAATGCAAGCACTCTGATACCTGCAGCATAAAACAGTTTAGATGACAAGCCGTCATTCAATTAAATTTCTTTTAACCGAAAATTCTAAACTACTGGAATTTGAAAGAGTACTTCTTAGTAGTGGAGAATATTTGTAGCTCAGGTGGACGGTCTTCGTTGCATTGTGTTCTCTGAGCTGGGTAGTTCAATCGCGAACCTTTCATCGTCCTTCTAGACGACATCATCAGCACTAACTTCAGTATGAAGTGAGCTGTCAGCTTCTCTCCGTGAGTGATTTTATATCTTGCCTTGACTAAGTGGTCTGTGATTGGTTGTTTCCTTTGATGGTTGCGTCATTCACTGTTGGCTGTTCCTCTGATTCACCTCTGACCTTTCTGTCATTGATCATCTTTCTTATTGGTTGATAGATTGGGTCTATGTCTATACATTTGTTGATTGCTGACTGACTGACTGACTGACTGACAAACTTCTAGGAATTCTCTGACATTCTTTGTGTTTCCTCTCTCCCTCCAAAATTTCCATATTGTCGAAATTGAATTCATGTCCATAATTATTACCCACGTGGATTGAAATGAGTAGCTATGAAATGTCGTGACGTTTAATAGACAATTGGTATTCATGTAGACGAAGGCGAAGAGGGCGATCACTTTGTCCAATGTAGTGTTGACTACAGCTAGTTATTCCAGTTGATTTTGTAAATGATATTCGGTTTGTCTTCTTTGGTTGTCGCATCCTTTAGTGTTTGGAGGGAATTTGTTGGTTTATAAGCCCACTAATTCCACGAAGTGGTCTCAGTAATCTTGTCGTGATTTCTGATATATATTCTTTATGTATGGTAGGATGATGCGTTTATTGATTTCTGTCGATGACTTTGTAGTTGATGATGTACGGGATAGGCATCTTCTGATAGAGTTTCGTGGGTAGCCATTCTTCTTTAGGGTGGACATCAAGTAATTTTCTTCCTTTCTCCCTCTCCTGAATAGAGTCTGCACGCAACTGATCTTGTGCGTTGTTGGGTTGTTGCTATTGTAGTTGAGGATTTGGTCAGTGTGTGTTGGCTTCCTGTACACTTGGGTTTCCAACTTTCCGGCATTTGTTCTACTGACTAGAACATCCAGGAATGGTAGTTGGTTGTTTGACTCCTTCTCCATTGTGAATTTGATGTCACTGAAAACGTTGTTGATCAAATTGTGGGTGTTTTCTATATCATCTTTTTTAATGATGACAAAAGTGTCGTCCACATAGCGAATCCAGAATTTTGGTTTGATCACAGGTAGGATGATGGCTTCCAGTCTCTGCATCACTGCTTCTGCAATTAGTCCGGATATGTGTGATCCCATTGGAGTTCCCTTTCATCTATTTGTATATCTTGCCGTTGAATTGGAAGTATGCTGTCAGACGAAGGTCGATGAGTACCATCGGACGTGAACATTCAAATTTTGTGCTTTCTGAAGGGTTTTCGTCTTCAACGGGCAGGAGGGACATCGTTTCCCTTAGCCAATTGATGTTCATTGATGTGTAAAGTGTAGTGACATGGAAGAATACTATTACTTCGTCATTTTCTATGTCAGTGTTTTCGATCTTTTCTAAGAATTCCGTTTGTAACTTGGTTGGATGAATGCATGATTGAACGAGGTGTTTCAGATTTCTCGAAAGTTCTCTTAATATATTGTATGTTGGAGTTCCACGAAGTGAGACTATTGGTCGTAGAGGGATGTCTCGTTTGTGTATTCTTGGTCTTCCGTAGAACCGACGAAGTACAGGTCCATTCGACTTCATACGCTATTTGTCTTGCCTTGTTATTTCTTCTGCTTTGAAGAGTTTGTTCAAGGCTTTACTGATTTAGTTGTCAAACTTCTGGATAGGTTTGGTTTCAAGTGGTTGATACACATTTTCGCCTTTGAGTAATTCCTCTGCTTTCCTGATGTAGTCTTCTTTGTCCATGACTACCGTAGTGCGTCCTTTGTCCGCTGGAAGTATAACGATGTCCTTCCTATTTTTCAGCCTTTTTAATGTTTTCTGCTCTTGAGTATTCATTTGAGCATGATGTCTCTTCTGCCTGGTCAGCGGTACGATTGTTTGCAGTATTTCTTGTTGAGTGACCCCATTTAATCCTGATGTTTTAAGTGACGATCCTAATGTCGCGAAGAATTCTGGTTTCCAGGCATCTCTTGTGTTGTAATTCAGTCCTTTTTAAAGAAGAAATTCTTCCATTTTTGTAATTGGATTTTTGATAAGTTGGCAACACAGTCGTTTGTTTCCTCGGTTGTAGGTGCTTCTGAGATTTTGAGCATCTTTTTCCTGAGGATGTTTCTTCGTTGTTCTTTGTATCTTCTGCATGATTTTTCAACTGCATTTGTCAGCGTTGTCATGTTTTGTGTCGTGAGTATGCTCTCTAGTTTTGCCTTATGATTGTTATTCACTGACTGGTATTTCCTGATTTGATAAAGCGCATTTCTGATCATCAATTGCACCGATTCTCTTCCACCTTCTTCGTCAATTTTCCATCCGATTAGACAGTTAGTCGATGATCTCTATCTGACACACTTTGGCAGAACATATTGACGTAGGCACTCATGGAGAAAGAATAGTTGTTCCCTTGTGGAAGCTTGTTTTTTTGGAAAAGTCTTCAAACAACGTGAAGTGTGTTACGCTCGTATAGTTTTGAAGTAGTGGAGAATATTTGTAGCTCAGGTGGATGGTCTTGGTTGTATTGTGTTCTCTGAACTGGGTAGTTTAATCGCGAACCTTCCATCGTCCTTCTAGACGACATCATCAGCACTAACTTCAGTATGAAGTGAGCTGTCGTGACGTCACGACATTTCATGACTCATTTCAATGCATATGGATAATTATGGATGTGAATTCAATTTGGACAATGTAGAAATTTTGGATGGAAAGAGGAAACACAAAGAATATCAGAGAAGCTTGGCATTCTGGTCAGTCACTCAGTTGGTCAGCAATCAACAGATGTATAAACAGAGACCCAATCTATCAACCAATAAGAAAGATGATAAGCGACAGAAAGGTCAGAGGTCAAGCAGAGGGACAGCCAATAGGAAGATCTATACAGTCAATGACACAACAATCAAAGGGGACAATCAATCACAGACCGCTTCGTCAAGGCAAGCTACTAAATCACTCACGAGAGATATTGACAGCTCACTTCATACTGAAGTTAGTGCTGATGATATCGTCTAGAAGGACGATGAAAGGTTCGCGATTGAACTACCCAGCTCAGAGAACACAATACAACGAACTACTTCTTAATACCGACCATTAATTTTCTCTAAAAGCCTCATTGTGTTACTGATGTATAAGGATGTGAGACATATTAATATGCAGTTTTTAATGACTCGAAATTCACTACTGAGATTCTCGCGTTTCATCGTGGATATTTGTGCTTTTAAGACATTGAAATCACATATGATACCACACGGAATTTTAACAATTGTCAGTAAAAGGAACTTGCAAATTCTATTGAACTCTAATCAGTAAGTCAAGTTATTCTTTTATATGCAGTAATCTAAGTTGATTTGAATTTTAACTAATTAATACATTCCCATTCTTATCTTTTCAGAGTCTGCGCCAAAGGTATGCCGGTTGTATTCCACTTGGACAGCAAGAAAAAGTATCTACTCGTTTGACTAGTGCATTGCGTGAACGTATATCTAGTAATCTTGCTCTTGACGAAGCTTTGAATGCTAAAATAAAGGCCGAGTCTATGATTGAAGGATATGAGGAAAGCAAAACTCTAACCTCTGAAATCCATAATCTTTTAACAGAGCACAACAATCAACACCCAAAAGAAGTTATTAATAAAAGCTTGGAAAAAAATTACTAGAATGGCAAGAGCGATTGAGTGATCTACGTGTATCAGAATCAGCACAACGTCGTCAGGTTTGCATTCCCTTGTTTCTAGACGTTTAATTTCACTACTTTTCCTTTTTGATTGTCCGACTGGTTGATCTGTGAACTGACTGTTTAACTTAATATATCAACACAGAGCCTTGCAAACTTACTTGTATAGTTTGTGAATAATAAGAACCAAACATCCGCTACCATTTGAACTAAGAGGCATCAGTGGATCTGTGAATTATATGTTGAAATATTTCACTACCCAATGAACTTTGAAAGGCTTGAAGTTTTCATATCTGAAAGCCACAACTTATGAAACCTCATTGATAAGTGACTTGAAACACATTTATTCACACTAAAAAAGAAGTGTTAGAATGAAACGTTTCGATTTAAAATAATCAAACTTAAAGAGGAAATAAGAGTGTTAGTTAATATTCTCATAATCCGTCTTTCAACAATGACCTAGGTATACCGAATAAATTGGTTAACTTGGCTAGTATAGAAATAGACCACTTAATACGGTATAAAGTGTTTGACCTAAAAAACTTGCAGCAAAATGGAAAAAGTCTCCTCTCATTGCCAAGTAGATTACCAATGATCAGTAAAGTATAGATAGAAATTGAAGTAACCATATATTCATGCTTAACATCCCAGCTAGGGACATTGTCGCTGATTGATTTATACCACAGGCCACCTACTGAAGGGTTATATCATATGAATAAATTGTATAATGCCTATTTTAAACAACCCAATACTATGTGTAGCATATGATCTTGTTGAACTAATCAATGTAGTGCAAGTATTACGGGACTCAGCTATTCTTATTATTGAAACATATGCTTTGTATTGCCTAATATATCGTCTGAAGTGTTTGCCTTACTAGTTTATTCTCAAAATGAAATCAGTTGGTGATTTACACATTATGGACGTATATCTGGGTGTAATCTGTTTATTCAGCAGTAATAATAAGGCTTCTCCTGTGATAAGGTCAATTCCTCAAGAGTCATCCACCTAGACAGACACCTACATCATCACGTCTTTGAAAAAAAAATTCAAAAAAGAATGAAGAAGACAACATTCTTGATGGATACCACTCGACATGATCAACTCACCTGATAACTCACCATTGGCTCGAACACTCATGAAAGTTTGAGTTCAGTGCTTTCAACAAAGTAATGTACTTCTTTCAGTGAGAGACACCGCCATGAGACCTGTCGATCGACAGTTTGATAGATACAGTTAGTGTTAGGCGTTGGTAATTTCATCTATGTTTCAGTATCTGTTAGTAGGAAATCTTTTGGTGGGTACAGTGTCAAACTTTTCTGGCTTTTTTGGTCTGTTGAGTCCAAGCTTCACTGAGACGCCTAATGATTATAGAATTTAGAAATCTAAGCATTAATTAAAGCTTTACTCGTAAGTTGCGTTAAACGTTTCAATGCAAACAAATTTTCAGTTAAAATCAATATGAAATTTCAAAATTTTCAAGAATATGCATTAAAATAACTGACTTTTCTTTCAAAACAGAATTTTTATTAAAGTATCATAACTCTGGTGTTATCTGATCTTTGATAGGTTGAAAGACTAAAAGAGCAAGTACATCATTTAGAATCTTTAGTACAAAATCAAGAAACTCAGTTAAATGAATTGGAATTAGAAAATTCACGCCTAGTTAAAGAACTAGACCAACGTGAAACACAATGGGAGCAACGTGAGGCTGAATTAGAAGGGGCTATAGAAAAAAATACAATATCTGAGGTTTGTTACCGCTTTTCAAATATTTTTTCTTAGCTTTTGTATGCTAAGCTTGCTGTATCAATACTCTGGTTCTGATATTCAGTTTTTAGATACTGACTGTTTTAGGCTGAGAAGTAATAAATAGTACAACTGCCTGAATAATGTTTCAGTAAATCAGTGTCAGTTTCAAGATATCACTAGATTGCAATAGAGAAAAGAAAAATATATAGAAAAATGTTGAACAAAAAGTAAATCGTTATTTATTAAGTCATTATTAGGCATCAGATTATTCAAGACGTTCAGGTAAAGACCTTTACCAATTCATGAATGACCTCTTGATGCATAAGTCCTTACATGGTTCATCGTAAAAGTTGATGAATTTTTTAATGTTTCATTCTTAAAAGTAAACAGTTTGACATGAGGATTATTTTCTCTGAGGATATAGGTTTTTCCTGCTCTTCCACATAGGTTATTCTAAGTTAAAAGGCAAATTAGGTATTTAATTTTTTAAGAATCTATTCTGTTGTTAGACACTTTTCCATTACAACTTGAATGCGTAAAAAGATATGCAAGATTGGATCTTATTAACCTTCATTATTGATGCGTAATACTTTTTGTATCTTAGAAATTACTTCTAAGGTCTACTACAATTTTTAAATTACACTTGACATAGGCTAGAAATTCGAATTCGTAATCATCATCATCATCATCATCATCGTCACGAAGTGGTTGAATCTCGGTAATGTCAGAGAATGATGAAAATGAAAACATGCTTTACATCAAGCCTGAGAGATCTATTTATCTTTTGAACTTCTGTGGTTATTTTCATTACAGGTGCCAACAATTTGTTTGCAAATGACTATAACACATAATCATACACTGTTGCACCAGTTTTTACCTGTGAACAATATAAAAGTCTGACTGACATTCACAATCTGAATATTCTGCTCTAGGATAAATAGATTATTTGATAGACAAATCATCTGTATGGTAGTAGTTTTATACAAGAAAGTGAATATTTGGTATGCTGAAAAAATTCAACTTTTGAATATATAAGCCCATGCAAAACAGACTGAAGTAGAGCTATGGATGGATGTCGGTCACCTGTATAGCAGAAAACAGTGGAAAAGATTAAAAAACAGTAACTGCTTCCGAATGTATGTGGTGACAAAGTTACTTAGTTCATAAAAACAGATTTAGAGTAGGTATGCATAAATATTGAGGTAATCTTAGGAAACCACCAATTCATGGGTCAGTCGGAATATACTTCACTCCTTATGCTTTGACATGCTTTTGCATTTCATGATGATATTGTTAACAACTTGATACATACTAATCACTGAACATTAATAAAGTTGTATCTCACTGAAATCTGTGCTAGATTTCGTCAGCACCTGTTGATACAGATTTAAATTACACACTACACAAACAAAGTGCTTTTTTAACTAATCATGGCGCAACTTATAATCCTATCTAAAAATTTTAACCAGATATTTTTCAGCGTAATGTAGTAGATTATTGTTTTCTAAGTTGTAACCTTTTGAAGTATGATCAATTCTTCATGAAGAAGATAAACTTCATATTTCCACTGAAGCTTGAGAGAACTAAAACCAGCAATTCTGCTACTATTTACGAAACAGTTATAGTCTTGACATATAACTGGATCTTTCAACATCATAACCAATGAGTTGTTCATCAGATTCTGTTGTCAAATCCATTTTGTTTCCTCTGATCTAACTAATCAACTAAGTTTGGAAGAAAAGCTTCAGACATTACATTTCAAGCCCTATGTTCATTTGGACTACTATCTTACATCGGTAGTCGTATTGTGAGAGGTATACATGGTTTGTATTATCTTGGTAAATCATATGCTACTGTCTAGGTAACTAATTCACTAATTACTAGCCGGTCCTGAGCTCGGATAAAGAAGGAAGGTTGGGCATATGGCTACCAACCCTAACTCGGAAAACCAATCTAACCGATAAAGAAACTTCAAAGCACAAAGAAAATATAAAACATAAAATTAAACTTATTCCTCTATGGAATCGGAGAGGCGAAATGACGCCGGTTGGTGAAAGCCTTCGAGAAGCCAATTAGCTGATGTGTCTTCTCCTCTCTCGATGAAACGAAAGTAAGCGAAGGGACATGAAATGTCCACACAATGTTTGAAGCTGGCTGGCTGGCTGGTTGGCTGGCTGGTTGGCTGGCAACGCTAACCAGATTGTAAAAGAGATGAGAATGTATGATATGGAAGTGCATGGTCAGGAATCTGAGAGAGCAGATGTAATGGAAGTGGACTCTCTCAACTGTCAACTGGAGAGTCAATAATCTACTCCGACATTGTCAAGCAAACGACAACCACGAGCACACTGAGTTTCCGAGTGGCTATCACGATGTCCCAAACAGCATCGATGGCTCTCATCTCATCTCGATCTCAAGAAAGTGGAGACGCAGCCTACTGGATACAAGATCAAGAAGAGGAATAGACGCATGTTCACACCACTCACTACCTAGTGCAAGGAACCTACCTTACAAATCAAGTTGAAAGCCTTCAAACAAGCTACTGATGGACCACAATTCCAGTTCAACAGCCAGAACAAAACTGAACTGGAGGACGAAACTACAAAGGACATCTTCACATCAGTCAGCCATCAGGACAAAATGGGAGATATTAATCAACATTGCTGAAGAAACGTGTGTTGAAGAACACTGGAAATCTTTGAAAGCAATGTGGAAATAAACCTGCATAACCGTATTAGGATGGAAGAGGAAACAAGATAAGTAATGGATCTCCACGGATCTTAACATGGAAGCTGATAGAGGAGGGAGAGTAAGATGGTGAAGCAGAAGATGTACCAGTGCAGTGCAGTGCAGTGCAGGGATGAACAATGAAAAAAGCAACTGAACCCAAACTATAAAATGCTACACTGGACAGGGGAGTGAAGAAGAGTGCGTGCAAAGACAGAACATACTTGTAAGACACACTGACAAGTGAAGCAGGACAGACTGTTGGTATGAGAGACAGAGACCTGACAACACTACATCAAATAACCAGGTCACTATCTGGGAGAGGAGAGATCAACGCAGATGAGACCAATGAGAGATAGTGAAGGAAACCTAGTTAGCGAAGAGGAGGAACAAACGAAACAATGGGCTGATCACTTCAGAGAGCTCTTGAATCGACCACCACCACCACCACCACTACAACCACCACCTGAAACTCGTCCACATATACCACCAACAGCCCAGACACAGAACTATCAGTAACCTTAAACCCTCCAACAAAAGCAGAAGTGAACTCCAGAACTTCATAAGGCTGCTGAAATCCGGGAGAGCAGCAGGACGAGATGGAATTCCGACAGAAGCAATAAAAACAGATGCAGAGATAGCAGTAGACATGCTCACATCACTATTGCAGAAGGCTTGGAAGAGAGGAAGGAAGTAAAGATACCTGCCGACTGATTGTGAGAAGGGCTACCTTGTCAAATTGCCAAAGAAGGGATACCTAGAAGCTGACAAGAACTGGTGTGGAATCATTTTCCTGTCCACCCCAAGCAAAATATTAAGCCGCATCATCCTGGAGAGACTTAAAAATTCGCTGAATTAAAAACTTATACCAGAAGAAGCTGGTTGACTGGCTTCGGGAAGAACAAATCATGTGTGGACCAAATTGCAGCGCAACGCTACGCATCATCATAGAACAGAGCGTAGAATGACAGTCAATTCAACTCTACCTCAACTTCATCGATTTTGAAAAGGCTTTTGACAGCGTCGACCGAGAAGTAATTCGGCTGGTAGCTACTTCAACACTGCGGTCTTAATGCCACAAACCTTTATCCACCTCATTCAACAGCTACATGTTATATGATGCTACATGCCAGACGAGTGATTCACAACGGAAAGCTCAGTGACGCCGTTGAAGTGAAGACAGGGAACAGGAGTAAGACAAGGTTGCCACCTACTATCACCGATGATCTTCCTGATTGTGGTCGACTGGACTAGACTGGATCATACAACAGACAACTGTGAGGAGGGAGAAGATGGGGATACGCTAGCTGGACCGATGAAAAGACCCCAGAAGAAGACTTGGATTTCGTCGATGACGATGTATGTTTAATGTCTTGTGGCACAAGCTCGAAGATCCACAGACGAAAACCAACAATTTGGTAGAAGAGGCGAAGCAGCGAAGACGGTGCTTCCTCCAAGTGAACGTAGAGAAGACAGATGTGATTAGGATACCCAACCAACAACAAACAGCAATCACCATCAGTGGGAGGAATCTAAAGTAAGTTATCTCTTCCACCTACCCTCATGCCTAGGCAGCATCGTTCTAACTACGGATAGCACAGTCACAGATGAGGATGTCAAAGCCAGCCAGAATCGGAAAGACAGCAAGACAGGTCTTCATTAATCTGAAACCAGTGTGAAGATCTACTGCACTGCACTGTACTCAGCATAAAGCGTGAATAAGATCCGGATTTTCTACACCAACGTCAGTCAAGTGAGTTAGTGCTTCTATGTGATGGTTCAGAGACTTGGCGCGTTACGAAAAGCATTCCCAACAAACCACAGATATTCACCAACAACTGCCATCTACGCTCCCTCAATACTGACACTGAAGAGCAGATGGCCAGAATAGTGAGAATAAGCAACAAGGTACTCTGGCTGACTGACTGGCTGGCTGGCAACGAACCAACCGGTGAAGAACCCATCGCCCAACAAATATGCAGTAGAAGAAAGTGGAGATGGATGGAATTGGACAATCACTGAGAAGACCACTTGGGGACATCACATGCAAGGCCAGACCCTCGAGTGGAATCCAAATGGGATACGACGAGTTTGGCGTCCGAGGAGAGGGTGACATGGTGGAGATAGTGTGAGAAAGAATGAAAGCTTGTGGGCAGTCGTGTAGCCAGACTGAAGAGACTGGAGAGAACAGAGTGCAATGGCGACATGCTACTGAAGCCCTATGTTCCACTAGGAACCCAGAGGACAAATACTAATAGTAATAGAATCATATAGTGCAAGTATTTTTACCGTTACAAATAGTCAAAGAACATTTCATTGATAATATCCGTTTTTCACAATATACTTTTGTAACTCTGTTGATATCTTTCTTATTTCAGAATATAATATCAGAAAATATGAGTAAATTGAAATCCATTCCCAATCTACTAGGAAATGAAGACATTGAACCTGTTTTGGATCAGATGAGTCATGATGTTAACTTCAATGAGCAACAGTCATCTTCTAAGCATTTGGAACAGACTGTTCAACGGACTGACGATCAAGTAATAGCCAAGCTAAGAAGTGAAAACACTGCGTTTCGGAAGGTAGTGATACTTAAAGTTGATATAGTGGTTTTAATCCTGTTTGCAGTTTTGATGACTCAGTAATCTAAATACAAGGTTGAAATTATTATTTCGCATGGGTTAAGCTCAAGTTAGTCTGGGAATCGATTGTAAAGTTAGTTGTGAAAGTGAATGAAAATAGAAAATTTTAGAAGGGATTATACTGAATGACAAAAAAGTCAGTGGCTACCATGGGGGTTGGAAACGAACAACTGTCTTTCTTTTGGATGCATAATTTCTGTTTAATTCTTCTAAAGACAACTGCTTCTGTGAATCTTAGAAAATCATCGTTGTTTTGTTTGCTGATTATTATTAAATTCATTCGAGATTTAGACATCATGCCATGTGTGCACCAAATATTTAGTAATGGAACTTTTGTGACACTTTGGCTTTTTCAAGCTTAACTTATTTAGAAAGTGTTCACAATATCGTATCTTAGCCCACTTAACTACCCTTCCGAAGTACGCTCTCTAACATGCAAACGCAAATTGGTAGATATAATTTATAGTGACATAAGGCGGGAACCTATCTTCTTTTAATTATTGTAATGATCACTTTGTTTTGCATACGGAAACTTATTTACCTACAGGGAAGGTGATTTTTAATCCGGTTCTTATTCTTCTACAAACTCTGTACGTTAGTTCATCTGTGTTGAAAGTCAGACACCAGAACATAGGTAGGTTTCTTCTCGGGATTATCAAGTACACTCATTGCATTTGTTCTCATCTTGACTTGATCCATAAATCTCTTAGGTTAACCACTGTTTTTCCGGTGCCTCTCGATGATCTGAATTTCTTCAGTCAGTTTTTCTGATAAAAACGTTCCTTATCCCTTTAAAATTGTGTTTCAACTAATCCTTGTTTATAACTCATAGTGGAGAAACTGTTAAAATAGAGAAACTATCCACTTCATATTTCTCTTCCGTAAAATGACCTTTCATACGACCCACCTTTTCTTCATCGAAGTCCTAAGTCGGAGGTGCAGTTAGTCAGATTATGACTGTGTGAGGATAATTTCGATCTTAATAATCACGCATTATTGCATTTGAACTCATTTGATCTGTATCAATTCTTGCATGATCTATCGTCAGTGGAGCATCATCCTCTTGATAAGTGAACTAAGTGGATTGCGTTTCTCTGCGTGTATCTTAAGATTTTAAAGCCTGTACTCAGATACAAAGAAAGAGATGAAATACAACAAAATCATTGTATTCTACTTCTGTAAAATAATCACTATTTTGTTCCGAGTGGATATGCAACTGTAAACTATTTACTCAAAGAAACAGCACAGTGCTGTTGAACATTTTGATCACTGTTGTTTGAATCTGCAACATGAAAATTGTTGGGATTAATAGACGAAATTCTGACTTAAATCAGCCTTTGGACTGATTATAAAAATCTTGGTTGCTACTGAAGCTGAAAGATGTCTTGTATCATATGACTAGATGCTTATCGTTATCATTTTTATTGCTTGTTTACATGCGAACTCAGCGTCTCACTCAATTGCTACAACTTATTCGCCTACAAGATTGTAAATTGCAAAGTATAGTCAATCATTCATTCGCCGCACAAAACCCAGAAAATCAGTCCACACTGGCTAGTTTACGCGCTAATATGGAGTTGTTACAACGTCGATTAAATGGTAAAGACGAAAGTCTTGCAAGAGTTAATGAGCTATTGAGACAAGCCTATGAAGCTAATGAGCAATCAAATGAAAGACATCGACAGGAAATTGCGATTTTGCAAAACAAAGTAAGTTTTTGGTAAACAGAAACCGATTACGATAATCCTATTTAGTCCACTCTACTTATTACTGAATTCTCTTATCTGTGTTCTACATCACATAAGCTTTAACTGTTATATATTCTTCTATGTTCCGATACTCTATTCTACCATCAGTTATTATTTATCCAATACTTTATCTTTCGATTTGCTTTAGCCTATATCACGAAGGAATTCAACTTTAAACACTAAGAGTTGTAACATCAGTTGACCTTGTGAAAATAACAGGGATTTTAACAACCTCACAGAAACTTTATTTATCAAAATTAAAGAAAAATATGGAAGCCTTAAGGATGATAATAGCTGACAACAACAACTGCTTTATTCCAAACAATACGTGTAATACAGTATGGAATTCTTAGCATGTAATATTTAAACAAATTCATTCCCTGTAAAATATCTTTAAGTGAGATAATCATTACATTTGAATCATGTTAAAATAAATAACAGTAATAAAAGCCATAATGTTGAACAGGCACTTGGTATTACACTAGCATCTTGTTTGAACTGGTGAATAAACAGAATATCGAGAGTAATTTTGGTGGTGGTAGTTTATTTAGCCAGTATCAAAATCTGCAATTCTACATAGTTATCCAGGGAATAGTAATATATTGTATTGCCTTGAATTTATAAACCCATCTCGTACTGGTGTATCGTTTATTGTTTATTTTATTGTGAGCTTGATAAATTACAAGTTGAAACCATTTTAAAAGTTGGCAAAAGGCGTTTAAAATACATATTTAAAAGGTTCAAACAAATTGAAAGGGATGAATTTTATGAAACTAATTCGGTGGAAAATGTTTGGTAGCCCAAGTTTTAAGCAGGCCGCCAGACTATTGTTGATAACAAAGACAAATAATTTAACACATGACTGCTATCATCTGGCGTTCAAACTACTAGAGTGTTTTTAGCAGACTTATTTCCATTACAGCTGTAACTTATTTGTGAACAGTCTATAACTTATCAATGAGCTTCTAAAATAAACAATCTAAAAACCTGTCATAACCCATACAGTCGATGTGGTCTGTTAGTCTTTTGTTTGCCTTCGTTCACCTTTGGTCTCTACAAGTGACCAGTCTTCATGGTACTTATTTGTCACAATCTTCTTGCACATATGTGACTTACGGATAACAATTAATACAAAATAAGCCGAGTCAAATGCTTTCAGGTGAATACAGTTTATGCATACTGAACGGTTATTTATTGCCTCATAGGATGGTGACTTTACCGAAAATCTCTATTGCTTGGAAAATTAAGTGTAAGTATTATGACCGAGTGGCTGTTTGAAAAGCATAGTATTTACAATGCAGTGAACTAATTTCGCGCAAATAATGCTAAGTACTTGAAATATACCAAATTTATCAGTTTATTAATGATATGAGGAACAGATTTACATCTCATCTCTATAAACAGAGGTCTACAGAAGCACTAATGTTACAACTCATTGTTGTGTAGAATAGCAGAAATGAAAGTACTTTCCAGATGTCACCTGTGTTTAAGCAATATAAGTCGAGGAGAGAAGTTTTAGCTTGCAACTTTCGAGCTATTTCGACAATGCTTCACTAAAATAATGAAATGCTAATGAAATCTTGAGAGTTTCAAAAAGTGAAACCGAAAAAACATGAAAATAACTTGTTATTTTTCATTTCATTTTGTTCTATAACCAAGTGTATGCTACTACTTCTAGATTTGTTTGTTGTTATATTAAGGGCTTTTTGTCGCATTCTCATGCTTATTTTATGTCTTCAGATATAATAAGTTGTTTTTCCCAACAGCTATATAGTACAATAGGGTAAATTTTTAGTGGATTGTTTGTTAACTGAACTGTTAACACTTAAAAGGTAATATATGCACTGCTTCGGTCACCAGTGAAATGTATATTCATTTCTAGTTTTCATGGGTTTGATTTGTGTAATTGATTCTTGTCTTTACATCTCTTCCAGAAGTGTGCAGCAGTTATCCCCTTTCGATGAACGATATAATCTCAACAAAAATTCTGTTATAAAGCTCTTAAATTTGTTATGAGGAGCGATGATGACTGATAGTTGTAGAGAACATTCGGATTTCTGTAGTATTTCAATCAGAAGTCAGTTACACGCTTTTTCTACGTCCTCCTGGTTTTATCACAAGATATTACTTGATTATTTAAAATAAGCACCTCTACTTCTGTTCGTTCGTAAATAAATTCAACCTATCTGCAAATGTGACGTGTATGATATTAGAATTTGCAACTTAAAATGCGATACATAAAACATAACCGAAATATACAGTTTTCATTTGTTCGCATAGGACTTTCGAATAGGTACACCTGTAATTGTATCATACTATTAGTAAGGTGTTTGCTCAATATTTTCCATTAAATTTCAAGCTTCATAACAAGATGGAAGAAACGATGTTGCAACTGGCTCAAAAAGTGGAATCTGTAGGTCGACAGGAAACATCAAATATCCATATGATTGAATTAAAAAAGCGTTTGAGTGAATTGGAAGAAGCACTTTCTGAACAAAATCAAGCTGTATTTCGCCAGTCTGAGAGAACAAAAGTAATACAGCAAGAGTGTGATGTATGGCAATTAAAATACAACCAACTGCAGACCCAAAATGAAACTGAAAAGAATAATATGGAAGACACACATAGGTAAATCTTATTTTTTCCGGTGGATTGTTTCTATGTTTGAGCTGTTATCACGATAAATACTGAATACTTGAAACTGATAAACCCTATTGTATAGGATACTGCATTTATTCCGTAGGTTACAACCTATTAAAAGGTTTGTTAAGAAACATAAGCGTGTGGAATAAAACACACAAACAATGTTCCATTGACAGATTTTATCAGAGCTCAATAAACAAGATTTTCCTTTTTCAGTAGTGTATTCATATGAGTTAAAATATTGACTTGGTAAAAAAGATATCGGTATTTTGCAAATATGTCCATGTCTTAACTGTGTCAGAGCAAATAAGTCGTATAATGAAGTACTCAAACTATAACCTGGACAACTTGAAATACTGAAAGCTGGAGATATATTGATATGACGATGAAATATTTATTCAAATTTATATAACAAGACCAACAACATTTGTAAATGTGGCTTAACTAATCGGTCTTTAACTACAGGATCATATATTTAAACTCAATACCTATACAATGGTTTGATAAGCATGTAGTATTGCAAGCATTCCAAAGTTTACATTGTCTGTCTCATAGCATCAATGGATGAAACTGCTTGATGTTGTATCCTGCAAACAAAAGGCCAAATAAGATGATCGGGAAAAAAAGTAAGATTAAGCATAAAATTCCAACTCCAAAGTCTTTTGTTGACAATTTCAGCTTTCGATAACTAATTTCTCTGCTGTGTTGATACATAATGAAAGGTTATCACTTGTCTAACAGTCAGTAATACATAATAGTTCTCATAGAAACACAATTCAATTTTATTATTTGTATCAGTTTCATTATTTTTATGCATCATGCGTAATTATTACAGTCCGCAGTAAATTCTTTGATAAAGAAGACATTTTCTGTTGCTTACTTATTTCATAGACAAGAGATTATGAATTTAACGTCACAAGTTGAACAATTACAAACGGAAATTGACAGACGTAATGAAAAAATTACTGAATTCAATAATGAAATTAAACGTTGGAAAACTGAAGCCAGTAAATCACCATCAGTAATGCAACGTCAATTGACTGAACGTCTACGTATTGATTTACTTGAAAAAGATAAACAAATTCGGGCAAGTATTTTATTGGTTTAACTATTAGTTTTTAGATTACCAAATAATATTGCTTTACATTTGATGGTTCAGGTGTGCCATCTGGACTAAAAATAATTGACACTACAAAAAGAAATACGTTGAAAAATAACTTCAAACCACAAGTTATCAAATGACTCAGGTATAATGCTATAGCATTACGTGCATCATAAAAAAGTGTTGTCTCATTTTCTACTCATTCATCTTCGTTTAATTAACGTGAAATTAAAGTTACTGAAAATCATTTTTTACTGATGCGAGAAAAAAGACATCTATAGAAGAAAATGTGCTCATCTTATTTCACGGCTTTTCATCAGCTGCAAACGCCCTGCAGCAAATAACGACAACCTGCTTGAACTTTGAGCTGGCGTATTTTACCATGGAATATACTGCATCAAATTTCACCTTTTTGTATTGTTTTAACCAGTCAAATATGTCACCTATTCGTATCGTATACTCTCCCACATTTTTAAAATCATTACAACCCATCGTTTTACAAGTAGATGGGCAAATTTAAAGAAAGAATCATGGTGGATGGCAAAGGGATCTGAAGCAAATGACCATAAGCACAAACTGCAATTCGTTACTAAAGAAAGTTGATTACCTTCCATCACTCTTATCCACAAATGTTCATTGTAATACAGGCGTAATAACGTTGCAGGAAACATAGCTTCATAACATGCATGATGGTGATGATTTAGTTTGTCTAAATTATTTCAAGTTATTGCGACAAGATAAATCTATTTCCAAGAAGTCTGGTGGGTTATAGCAACATTTATCAATACAAACTGACCCACCTCCAACTTCAGCTTCTCCAATGAAAGAATTGAGTGCAATAGCACTAAATATCATCCTGAACATTTGAGTAAATGCAAACACGTATACACAATTTCCAAGAAAGTCCAGTACAGATGTGATTCATAGGGTAATATGCTACGTTTGAGAAGCATGTCTAAGGAAACAGGCGGGGATATTTTTTCTGATGAAGTTTTAAGCAACACTAGCACTAATACCATGAGCTATCTCATATTCTTTCTCGATATTTGCTGCCGTGGTGAAACGGTCCACATGAAATTTGACAGACTTTTTTTCCCCATCTCAAGGGGCTCCGGAGAGAAAAGCAAAGGTTGTATAAGACGAGAAATCACCTTGGCATTAATAGACTTAACTGCCTAATTAAGTCTCAAATACAAGGTCAAAATACCATATGCAACCGATGACTGACATACATTACGTAGGCCCTTTTTAAAAATGGGCACAGTGACGGCCTCATTCCAGAGTGGTGGAATGTCCTCAGTCTGTTATATATTCCTAAATAATCTAGTCAGTCCCTTATCCAGGGCTGATCCTCCATCCTTAAAGCGAACCGAGGGTGTTGTTTGGGCCAGATGCCTTGTGACGTTTCAGAACTTGGACTTGCTTGTGGACCTCGACTTCCTTAGGTTGAATGACCACAGGCTACTACACACTGGAACTGAAGATGCTGGAGCGTTGAGTCGGATAAAATGATTTTGGAAGTCCCTACCCAGCGTTCCTAGTGTCTTTGAAGACTGTTTATTAGCATACCATCTACCTCACAGACCGTCTAACTGACGCCAGGTTTCCTGATCCCAGTGGCTCGGATGAGCTGAAACAGATTCTGACTACTTCCGGATGTAGCTGCTTCTTCTGACGCACTTGCGTAGTCTGACCACCAAGCTTCACCATCGTTGCGTAAGTGTTATGCAGTCTTTCGTGTAGGTGAATTAAAAAAATCATTTTACTTGCCATCTGCAGAAATGATCTAACAGGCGTCAATAAGTTTCGCGGAGCTCGAAGTGACCCAGTGTTTATGTTCTTCTAAGCTACAAGCGGCTTTATTTGTCATTTTCATTGCGTCCTGAAAATGTAGATAATGATCGTCTACACATTTTGGAAGATCGGTAGCTAGCCTTGAATCTAACTCGGATTGGTATTTAGCTAGACTCCTAGTTGCAACTAATTTTCTTGCATCAACCTGTTTAGAACGACAATTTTTATGAATACAAGACGAACTTAGTACACACTAAAGCAAGATCAGAGTCCAAACAAGTACTCTACGTGGAGTGGTAGTCCTGCATGCCTGCATGCCATTGGTAGTTGTTTGCAATATGATCTAATTTAGTCCAGGCTTCAGTGGCAGAGGGTGGACGCTAAGTACCACAATGGCTATGGGTGTGTCGGAAGTTGGTGCTGAATAGAAATTGATTGTAGTCTGCACAAAGCAGCAGAAAACGATCCCCATTATCTGACCTGTGGCCAGTTGGTCCCCGTTGACCATCTAAACAACTCTCCTATGAGCCTAGACTCCTGACCTGAGCATTCAGGTTCCCAGCTAGCACGACGATGTGTATCGAGTGCACTTGATTGAGGTCTCGCAGTTGATGATAGAATTCATCCTTGGTTGCATTCAGGTCGCATTCCATCACAGTATAGGCTAAGATGACAAAATACATCGTCTAACTTGCTGGTTTTTTCTTTTTAGAGACGACACTGCTAGCCGTACAACTTCATCTCGAGCGCATATTAAGACATCAGCGCCACAGGGGCCAGTTACTAACAGCAGCAGGTTCACATATAAGCTCACATGAAACACATTCATAGCTGACAGATGGGAAACTTATTCAAAGCACTTCACTGGGATCTTGTATGCAGGTCTGTGCGATGCAGTATACATCAATAGCTAGGCTTTCCAGAGTCCTATCTGAATCTACTCGTTGTCCGATCTGCATCAAGGTGCAAACGTTGAAAATGGCAAATTCAAAAGGAAGGTATGGTTTCATGATAGATGTGTCAGATGTCGTACTATAGGACATCTTTATGAGGGCAACTTTTTGGTGACTGAAAGCACTACAGGCAGACCAGAAGTCTAAAAGATGGAGAACGAATGAGTGAAGTGAAAATAAAGACAAAAGCGAAAGCGGTAATAGGTTGGAATTCATCATGGAATGACATCAGTTTGACAAATACTGGAAACCCGGGAGCACTAAACTCCTGTTTCCCCCTACTATGGGACTCCTCGGCAGTGCTTACCCATGACCTCACCTCGCCAGGGATCGGATCCAGGGCCTTCAGGTTCCGTGACCAGCACGCTACCATTGACCCACTGGGTAGAAGTACAATCGTCCACACTTTCTACTTCTGTCAGTCCACTAAATAACGCAACTTACATCCACTATCGTCGTCGAGTAACTGTCCTCATATCCACTTGTCATGACTTCTCGTTGGAACGTCGAGAATCACCTCTTGAAGCTAGTCACCAGTGAACACTAGATTAATTCTTTCTAGACGTTTGTGGAGGTTTACTAACTGATTTTAGGTTGGAATTTATCATGGACTGACATCCCTGGCTGGGTCATGGGTGCTCATTGCTAAGGAGTCCCATACTAGGATAAAACAGCTGTCCAGTGCTCCCAAGTTTCCAATATTCCTGCAAATAATGTCATTCCATGATGAATCCCAATCTAAAATCAATAATAAACCTCCACAAACCTCCAGATAGAAAATGGTAATAATCAAAAAATATACTTCATATGTAAAATAAACAAAAACAATATACTAGCAATAAACTGAACAATTACTTATAGGATTCCTGGTGAGGAGTGGTTCAGTATTCGCAGGAAAGTTGGTTAATTGCTTTGGAGTCCTTTTTTATATTTTAATTTCATATTTTGTGTGAGGGCTGAGATACTGTTTGGTCTCCCAAACCCAAGCAGGTGGTTGTTTTGGGGGACCACTCCCTGAACCTTTGACTTAAAGTCTAATCCAAAATGTAGTGAAGTGATATCAGAAGCTATTCCTATCATTGCCGGTGATCAAAATAGGTTCCTACTCCATTGGTTTCTTCTAAAACCTGAAGTCCATATATATGCTTTGTTTGCAATCAGGGTTTTCCAACTTTCCTATGTGGACTCTCAGTATCCACCAATCCGATCAAAGCCAATGGCAATTTACACACATCTGATGAGATAGAAAATTAAGAAGCTGTGGAAACCAGGGGGAAGGAACAGACAGGAGTGTAAAAGTAGTTGTCAAAGAGATAGTAGGTTTCGTAATTACATGAAGAGACTGAAAAGGTGGTAGGCTGTGTGATTAACAGGGAGTAGGTAATTAATTGTGAGATGATAGAATTCAAAAGAACGAATGCAATGCATTTACAAATGCAAACTTATGCACAGTTACCAGGGTTACGGAAAGTTAACTACAGTATCTTTCTGAGTACACAGGTCAGGCTGAAAATGACTTTTGCTAACCTTCGGGTTTAGGTTATGAACTGTCTTTACTGCTATCTCTATAGTAAAATTAATATCCCACTGGGTTTCTTCAGGAAGAGAATTGCTTCTATGTTCAGATTAGTGCTCATCTAACTCCTCCCTGAATATGTACTCCACTTTCTCATCTTATAACTGATCACAGATAAAAGTTACTGTCGTCTGTTTTCTGCAATCAGTGAGATGCTGACATACAAGTGTCCGTACCAATGTGTGATCGGAATTTAGACAGGTACTTATGAATGAGCGGTAGTCCTCCACCGATCCTCCCGCACATTTGCCATCGGTAATACGTTCTCTTAGTGTCCATCGTTGTTTAGAAGTCGGCGGATGCCATGTGAGACAGTCTCTCTTTTTATCTTGAAGTAGAGTGCTGGTCAAAAACAAGTGATTGCAACAGGCGATGACTGTTGTGAGTTCTTCGGGACAGGATTCACTAAACCTTTCGGATTGGCTCAGCTTTCATACTTGAGCTTTGAAGCCACCTGACATTATGACTATATCTGGATGTCTTGCATTCTATGGATCAATTAGCAATTTTTCATCAAATTCATCTTTTCATCATCCGAACTGCATCGCTGGGCCAGTAGGTGGAGAATACGAGTGGGCGTCAGTTGGTCTCATGATTCTTCCTAGTTCTTACAGATTATTTCGACCGGACAGAACATAAATGGCTGTTTAATGGTATCTAACTGAGAAGCGCACTTTCTGCTCCACAGTGAATTTTGGGAACTCACGCACTGGTCAGGTGAAGTCAATTTAACAGACACACTAGGATACTGGATTCGCGTATCTGAGACACAGCATACATCAATAGCTAGACATTGCAAAGTCTTGGGGAGCTATGTTTGGTGTTCAGCATGAAATCGATGGTGGGGTCTTAGGGTAATAGAAGTGAGGTTGCGATGGCTTTAATAATTGGCAGTGTTCTGAGATTGAGAGTTTGGGGAGGGTGTAAGAGGCCCGACATTAGTATCAAGCGGTGAAGACAAAGGAGGAGATATAGTTGAGGAGGATAGGTTATATATGACTAGGTGTTGCGTGCAACTGGGAACGTGGTTTCCGGTTCCTGGCTGGCCACACTGTAGGAAGCTATTTATTTTTACAGTATTTGAAAAAGAAAAAGATTTTTGTGACCATAGGGCCAATGAGTCATCTGCTTACGGCCGGTCACACGGCCTTATTCAGATTTGGTTGTTCTAACATCGGATAGAAAACCAATGCCGCTGGCACCGGAAGACCATGGGGCAGGGAAGGGTGTGCTGTTTTCGCAGCCAACCTTTTCTAACTCCTGTTCACAGCAGGAAGGTGACATCATCGTGGCACTGCTAGTTATCCATTGAAAGCACCTTACTAATGTCACAATCTATCCACCAGTAGCATAACTTCGCCATCGGACTCGCATCATAGTGTAGCAATTAACGCTACAACGGTAACTGCTTTTCATCTTACCACTATCCAGCAGACGTTTTTGGGGATACTAAACTTAACGATGCGATCAGTTGAGTAACATTTTACATCAGGCACGTCGACAACATTTTTAGTGTTACTAATGATTGATTTCATACTTCGCATTTGCTAGAACCTTTTAATAACGCTCATAACGATAGTAAATTTTTCCATGGATTACGGAAATGATGAAAAGCTTAATTTTTTGGATGTTGCTGTACAACGTAGAGATCCATCCAACGAAAAAGTACGTGGAATGGCACCTATTTAAATTTTATTAGCTTTTATCCCACTAGCTACAAACAAGGATTAATTAAAATTCTGTTTCACAGAGTCAAAATGATATGGTTTAGTAATAAAGTGGAAAAAGAGTTGTAAATAGTTGAGAGATGTTTACGGGACAATGGATATCAACAAGCGTTTATCAACAGATATGGAAAAACAGAAGACAAAATTTCGATGAAAGCTATAGTCAGCAGAAAGCCTGTATTCACGCACCTCAATTTCAAACCGGATGATGTTGCAGGAACTATTAGCAGAAGACTGAAGGTCTCACCGGCTAGAAATCTCCCCGGACCAGGTTAATTCCTCTGTACAGAACAACGTACTTTTTATTCTGGTCAAAAGTCAACGTGGACCTTTCCAATGTGACCTGCAACTGCGTATATCAATTTATGTGTAGCTGCCGAAGCAGATACATTAGAAGAAAAGAGAGTAGAGTGTGTCTTAGATTTTCTGACTGAGAGGAACACTTTGAACTGTGCAGCCATTTGGCATCTGTTTCACAATGAACATGAAGCAGATGTCTTCAGTTTTTTCAAGATAAACAAACAGACAAACGAGTTTCAGATGGGATGAAACGCACGTCCTTGATTTGATTGCTAGCCATCAAATAGATTGCAACAAACCATTGCGATAGTATACATCACGGACAATAGGGGAACCTTTGAAAACCTGGGAACACTGGACAGCTGTTTCATACGAGTACTAGTACTCCTCAGCAGATTTCCAATGGTTCACCAACTGATATCAGTCCGTAGAGAACACTTCCTCGAAATTAAAAACCCCATTCACCCCAAAACACATTACCATATAGTGTTGACAGTGCTTATAGATGGAAATGGCGAAGCTCTAATGAGAAGCCGTGACTTGTGAGGTCAGCTAGTCCGAAGGGAAGCAGGTGTCATCTGAAGACCCTGGGTGATAGTCACACTATATCGTGAATTGATAGAAGTAGGAAACTATGAACCACTGAACTCCGGCCCAGGAGCTAAATGGTTAACGCGTTCGCCGAGAAACCTGAAGGTCCTGAGTTCGACCCCTGGCCGGATCGTTGGTGCATACTGTTGAAAAGTTCCATACTAGGACGAAATAGCTATCCAGTGCTCCCAGGTTCTCAATGGTTCCCTAACTGGTGTCAGCCCATGATGAATGCTACCTAAAAATTGTAATCTCCATTTACTTTAAAAATACATTAAACTAAAATATGTTAAATTCTCAGCAAAACTATATATTTTGATATTCTAGGTTGTAAGCAGTTATCATGATACCACGGAAATAAAGTGTATCCACTTTATCCTGGTTTTATAGTTCTTGCTTTTTTCGAATACATAAATAGTAAGGGTTTGTCGGATTCAGTGTATATGAGGAGAATTTATTTTTCTTCAGCAAACTGATTTTGTTGCATCAACTTTCAATCATACTGTCATCGATTTGCATAAAATCTGGCTTTTGTGTGCTTCCTTCTTAACCACTGAAGAAAAATATCACAAGTCTATCACCAAAAAGTGATTTTATATGAATATAAGTAAATTAAATATATTTTAATGTTACTTATCTTTGTATTTCAGGCCTTATCCAAAGCATTAGGTGAACTACGTCACGATCTTGTGGCACAAGCTGAGCAGGCTGTTTTGGCTACTAATTCAATCCAACCAATTTATGCTACACCACCAGTGAAGGAAGTTGAAGAAAGACAGATTGCTAGTGAAACATTTATATCACAAGATAGTGCAAAACCCTTAGAATATGCAAACCAACTTCATTCAGACAGAACTAAAGATGAAGCTAAGATTCAGCAGGGTGATTAATCAATTTCAAGTTTATTTTACACAATTTACGCGAAATTTTATCTATAGTGTCTTGTTTTGCACCAGTTTTGGTTGTTTCAAATAGAAATATGTAGTTCTCACTTTCACACATAAGGGATCCATCGCTGACTCAAATCAGTTGGAGGACCGTTGGAAGGTTGAAGACACTGAACAGCAATACGCATTTACGAGTCCGTGAGGCATTGAACTCAGGACCTTCAGGTTTTTCGGAAAGCGAATTAACCATACAGGAATTAGGTTTAAGTTCAGTGGTAAATTTTGAATAAAATTAAAATATGGATGGATCATTAAGAATTCTGAATATGTCCAGGTCTTCGTATAATTGAAGCGCTGGAATTTTGCAATATTACTGCACTGCTTATTATCTCACCTAAGCGTTTTTCTCGTGTCCTGTTGCTTTGTTAAACTGCATGTCAGCTCAACTCTTATAGATACATGTACCCTTTTGGTATAGTGTGTTTGTTTGACATAATTATACGATATTTAGTAATTCCTTTACTCGTTAATAGTACAGATTAGAATTCTTCAGAAAACACTGAAACTTACCACATCTAGTGTGGTACCATTTGAGTAACGTCATGTAGAATTACTGTTTAATTTTAGATTTATGATAAATTCTCACTTGATTTTGTATTATGATAATTAGTCAAATGTGACTACTTGAAAAGTTATGTATTAGTTTATGTTTTGATGCAAACTATGCAGAAAATCGGCTACAAGAAAATCACAATGACCAGTATGGGGAGAATTCTAGTCTGTGATTGACTGTTGTACATTTCTTCCGTGTCCTCCACAAACCGTTTTATTTGTCATCTACTGAAATTAGGTGATACGTGACATGAATTTTCGCATTTCTGAGAACGACCGAAACAGATCTGAAAATGCGGAGACATTAGTAAAAGACACAGTATATTGCTAGTTTTTTATTAGCGGAAAAAACTATCATGTTTGAAATCGATAATTTAGTGAGCTTCATTATTAGTGGACATTTACTTTTGCTTTCAGGGACGAGCACTGTTGAATACCATATAGTGGTTTGTGTGAAACTTTAGATTATAACTAGATATGCAGACCGAAACAAAGAATTTGTGTTTAGCGCAGTTTGGGAGTTGTTTTTTGTATGATTGTCGGTTCATCCATCAGGCCCAAATTATCATCTCCTAATTCGATTAGCGAAGCCAATGAAGGGAAACAAGATGTTGAATTTAAATGATATACACTTGACACACTTTGAGTGAATCCATCTCAAACTATTTCTTAATGCATTTAAACATAAGCAATCAAAAACCCAGTGATTTGCTGTAGTCCTCAAACTATTTTGATTTTTGCTATGTTCTCACAAACATTGAGATATCATAACGTTTGATGACCTAGAAGACGAGGACCAACTCACATATTGACAGCAGTATTGTCCTAGTAATCGCTACCATTACCAGTAAATATCTCTTAGTGATTTTCTTTTAGTGTTCTCCAGTAACGTTTGATAATTTGTTGGCGCAGTCCCGTACTTTACGAAACGACAAAACCTCAGCAATTGTATACTCCATGTTTAGAACACTTCAATTCTTTCTTGAGACGGATTTAATTTGGTACATTTAGATATTTCATGGATAGGCATGAATTGTAGTTAAAATTGATAAAAATTCGCAATGCAATATTTCACTACTCAGTAGATATATAAGAACTTGTTTGAGTTGATAGCATCCGAAATTCATAAATCTGAACGCTGTAGGATGAACTTCAAAGTCTTGTCGATAGATTGTGTATAGTCTGGTATAATGATTTTGTATTCCCTGACCAAAATACTCTTGTTACCTGATATTTTACTAGGAAACTATAAAAAGGAAATCAAAATTCATAAATAATTCAAGTTGATAGTTATCTTTCAAACTGCTTAACTAAATTTCGTTATATTCTTAAGGTAGACTGGTCATTGGTCATATACTTCAGAGTTTTTCTGTGCTATTTCGCTGTAAGTCAGCTTAGATCCACGAACTTGTGTGAAAGTATCTATGTCAATCTGTCAGTTTATTCGTTGGTAAAAGATACAATGCAGTTTCTATTAACGTGGCTCAAAGAACTAACGTTTGGTTGTATTTTCATTGCGCTAAATATACCCATTAAGTCATAGAGAAAATAGTTAACTGAAGGAAATCCTTTTTTATTTTCAAAAGCTATGCATGCAATGGCATTAAGACTGAATATTTTCATTTGTAAACCATCGCTTGTGTTTGTTTTTGATGATATGTTATGATAGTGAGTTTTTAAAAAATCATATTCATATTAAATCCCATAATTATTTTGATTAAATTAGTAATCATACTGAACATTTCAAACTGAAGTTTATCTTTTGCTGCTTTACGATTATATACATTTTAAAAACGAATTCATTTCATGCATAGATAGTGTTCATAAAAGTTATCTAAAAATTAGGACTGAGTTAATGGAAATGACCTTGTCATTTTTAACTGACATACATGTCAACAGTGTTTAAAAAATCTAAGGATCATGTAGAATTGTGTGTGTGTTTTCTGTTGTATATGTAGTCGATTTACGGGATTTTAATCATTATCTCGAAATAAGTCCCAAAGAAAGCTTGCTTTTTTGCACATTACCTTAACAAAGTTAGTACAGCAAAAAGCTGATATCACTTATGAATCTCTGTAAAAATGCTTAACTCAACGTACGACTGTTAGTTGGATTTGAAGCATCATCCATTATGCTTTACCTTTTTTATCATCACGGAGGCCTGCTTGAATCTTAGGCTACCAAAATTTTTCACCGAACATGCCATGTACTCGTGTACATTTTCAAAATGAACTTCCTGTTTCTGGAGTTAATAAAAAGCAACAAAAAATTTCACGTTATATGAAAGTTGACTTATCAGTGAGCAAAAGTACATCATCCCTGGGATACTTGGGTTGCAGATTCTTGTACTGGCTGAATGAACCACAAACACCAAGCTTATTGTCACGTTTCTATTGATTCTTCATTATGGATCAGACAATAATCCAGAGAACTGTTATACATTTGTCTGAAAATATTGTTTTGGGAATGATTTTGTTGAAACGCCATATGCTGAGAACTCTATACTGTATCATACATATAGTTCGTTACTGTTTTATAATTACGAATAAATATTAACAGAATTTTCATGTGGAATGATATTAGATTTAGGCTGGAAAAACGGAGAGAGAACAAACAGCAAAGATTGAAAATTAGATTGAAGGAATTATATGGCAAGATAGATTAATAAATAGATAAACAGCATCATTATGCGTTAATGCATTACTGTGATATTTTGATGGTCAGTTACAAGATATTCATACCTATTTAACATGATATATATATATATATATATATATATATATATATATATATATCGTAACTCTTATTCTTCTGCATTTCTTATTTTCGTTCGCGATTACATTTCGCTTCCAGCATTTAAATCAGTTCGGGAAAAAATGTTATTGCTTAGTAGGAACTGCCACACTTTAAATTAGGGAAATTATAGACAATTAAATGTTTAGCATCACGACATTATTAGACATCAATTTTAATTGATCTGAACTGAAAACAAACAAATTATTCCGTATCATTTTCACATTATTATTACACCATGTGCAAACTTTCAAAAGGAACAAATAAACTATGGATTACTGCAAAATAATTCACTTTTATCTCAATATTTTATATCGAAGTTTAAAGCCTTAGATAATTTACGAGGTAATATAAAAGTTGAGATAATTCAGTTTAGACAACATTTTAGATAACTGTTTTAGACCCGCCCATTAGTTATGCTACAATATAAACACACTGTTGTCACAACAATGACTCAAAGCAAAAACCATGGTATATACACTTGGTTTAGGTTATGACTGTAATCATACAAGTTACACCCAGTCAGTGTTTCTTTTCGCAGACATTTTAGTGAAACAAAGATGAAAACCGATAGTTTCTCTACAAGGTTAATTGGAATGTACTCAGTGCAACGCGAAATAGGTTAATAACGTGGTTGAGAAACACACAGAAACAGTTATCCAAACTAATAAAAGTAGTTTACTTGAAGTAAGTAAGACGAGATGAAGCTTATTTTCTTCTACCATACTACAACAGTATCAATAGTTGTACTTCTATAGTGTAAACCGTATTACTTGTAATAAATATCATAAAAAATTACAACCTAGGCTTTATTGAATATATGTTCAAAGTCCATCTGAGTTACATTTGAGTCAACTTTGCTTCTACTTTTTTGTTTCTGTTGACAAATCATAGAAAGTTATATTTGAATAGGGAAAAATTGGTACTATCATCTTTCATTTTTGCCTTTGTGGTTTCTTCATCCAACTTCATATTGAGGAATATGTTTATGAACGCCGGATTTGTTATAAAATTGGATGGTTACATTCTTTAGACTATATTATGAAGGTAAAATCATGTGCGGTTAGTTGATCTATTCCAAATAGAACGTTTGCTGATTTACCATCTACACATTGAGGTGTTTGTTTAAAACAGTTGCAACAAAATTTAAAAATGATTTGCAAACTGCTCAAGCCACATTACACTAAACATAATGCAGTATATGAAATAAACCCTTGTTTTCCCGTAATATATTGGCGCTATCCACATTCTTTGTCTTATTCTCATAGCTCAGCGTATCAGTTTCATATTGATTAAACGTTTTTATACTTTATTATGTGTGCATCAGACTGAAATTTTGAAGAATTTGAGTGACAACTGGACAATTATTAATGAACTTCTCATTAGAGTCAGCGTTTTCTATGCATATTACCCGTTATACTTTATGTCTTAATTGAATTTTACATAGCGCAGTCAAAAATGAATACATCTGAAACTAACAATACCAAGACTTACAAACTTAATTTCATCAACTGCCTTAAAAGCATTTACTTAAAATGTTTCCAGGTGCCTTACTAGACATTTTTTGTATTTCGAGTGAACCCCAAGGTACATTTAGCAAATTTATAGAGCAAACAGCTATTTTACGGGGATGTAATACGGTAATCACACTTTCGTTATTTCTAAACCATTTTTCTTTGGTAAAGATACGATTCTGAAACTAAAGGAGGCAAACAAAAGACTGGAGCTGGAATGCAAGGACTTAAATCAGCAGTTGGAACGGATTAAAAATACCCGAGTAAGTAAGAAAAAGTATTTTTTTTATCCCCAATCTCAGAAGGTAAACTTCCAATAAGTTTTATTGAAACATGAATATTTGATCAGCTGAGTGTACAAATGTTTAAAATAAAGGGAGATAAGTATTTAAAATACTTGAAATATAGTTCATCAACTATATTCATTTAGAACCACAGTAATATACAGAAATAAAATTTCAACTAACTGAATACATAGTGGAAGAACAAAAACACTAGTACTTCTTTTCCGTGATTTCATTCTCAAAGCTGTACATGCATTTTTCGGTTGTATTCACTACATAACAGTTATTTATTAAATATGATAACAAGGAATTGAATTACTATAAAGATCATTAAAGAAAGAATTATTTCAAATTCACTTCAGCATTAAAGTACAGTGAATATTTGCCCAGCACTTCGCTGCTATCTTTTGCTTCCCATCAAAAGTTAATAGTAATTCGTAGTGTCAACTCATGATTAGTGTATGCAGTTTTCAATCTTAACTGATGCCCAATAATCTATTATCGTTTTGTTAAGCATAAATTCAGTGAAAGTCAAAAGATAAATGACATAGAGTCATGACATTTATCCTTCTGTCTATTCACAAATGGTACAACACTTCATAGTATAAAGCCAAAATTACCCTATATGATGCACCGAAAATCAAATATTTCCATATGGAATTCAAGAAATCTATTGTCAATTAAGAAAGCCTGGATTACATAGGCAAATTTGGTGGGAAAGCATTACACGTTAACGTTTTATTTCAGCTTCATTCTATTATCGATGTAAAGAATAAATATTTTCTTTGGATTTAATCTTAAATTGAGACCCTGAATACGCCTCAACAGAAGATTGATGAACTAACTCGCAAAAACCGAATACTCGAAGAAGAAATTTCTAGGCTTCGCATGATACCTGAAAAACCGTATCAGGAGTCGAATAAAAATAACAAAGTAAGTTATACCTCTAAATCCTCAGTTTTTCCCCTTATATGATGTACACTGAATTGCTACCTTCATATATAATATAATATAATATAATAATTACAAAAAGGCATCATATAAAGTTGAAGAGGGGATAACATAGAATTAAGAAACAGCTAGAAGAAATAAAGGTCAGTTAGTGAATTTCTCTTAAGAGTTTTAAAAGTTTTCATCATATAACCTAAAACAAGAAATATAGGCGAACAATGTTGTTTTCCACTGGACTTCTTTAGGCTTTAATATTAGCTTTCGTAAGTTTAATATTACCGCCTGTAAACAAAATACTCGCGAGAATTACAAGTAGTCACTACTGAATATGATTATGAGCCGTTTTTGATATCGCCTCAAATTCCTTTGCCCCATTGGATCCTCGACTCCACTCGAGGAGTTGTGAAACAAATCCAGACGAATTAATCGTCATCTCCCAGTTTTATAGAATAAAGTAACCTTAGCTTGATGGTCAAAAAAGAATAATCAAATTGTAAGCCAAAGAGACAGCTTACCTAAGACGCGTTCACTCCAGCAAAACCGGTTTCCAAAATAACTTTGATTATCCAGTAATGATCTCTATGATATCTATAAAAATATTGCTCAGTCTTGAAGCTACTTGCATATTATTAACCTCAGATATGGGTTGTCAGCCCCTCGAAGATAATGACTTTCAAAAAAAATATCCTGAGTTCAAAAGGATATGTATTACTGATAAAAAGAAACAGGGATAAAACTTGGTAACCAGTTTCATATTGATTAAACTTTTTTATACTTTTTATTAACGTATCCAACAGACTGAAATTTTGATCGGTACTCCGGGTATGACAGATACATCTGGTAATGACTGGTGACCTTTTGTTAAGTATACTTAGTAGATTCTACAGAATAAGTTGTCCTACTCTGATCAAGCTACTTCTGTTGATGTAAACTATACTGTACTTTAGGATTACAGATATAAAAAGCACATCAGCATGTTTCTGAGTTTTAGTGAGGACTCATTATGATCGCAGTGTTAATGATTACAATCATTTTATCCTTTTAAATGCAGTCTGACATTATTCTTCTATTCACTAAATTAAAAAAACAAGCTATAGCACATTTTCATGGTATTTTTTTAAATTTAGGATTCACAATATCATCTTCCATGCGTACTAGTTTAGCGAATGAATGGGAGCAACGTAAACGTTTAGAAGGTGAGATAAACAAAATGAAGGAAAAATTGAATAAGAAGAATTCCGAACTGAATGCCGTTCAAAAACAGCTGGAGTTAACTTTGAATGCACTTGATCGAACAAACAAGTAATGATTTTTGATTCTGGAACTTTTGTGGATTAAAAATTCTATTACGTGACTCTATGGGTAACAAGTTGTTTTTCTTTTGATAATTGCACTGTTTGCCTGTTCAAGTAGATTAGTTAGCTTTTAAAGATTGCCATATACCAGTCAAATAACTGTAAGTATTTCCATAAAGTGATCCCAAAGCATATATCTGTTCTAAGACCAAGGAAGGCACCTTTTCAGTTATTTGATTTGGATAAGAAATATCTGTGATCAGTTTGAAAGTGAGATAGTGAGTCGTGCATCACTTACTACTGATCCCGCAAACTAGAAACATACTTCTCAATTAGTCTTGTTCGATTAGAAGCCGACCGATATACAAACGAAGCCTAAATAGATAGGTTTAAAATTCTATACCAGAAGTAGCTGTCTAAGACCTACCAATCCTTATCGCTTATCGCGATGATTAGTAGTGTTCATAAACACTAACTTCTTATCCATCAGGAATCTTCGACCTATTAAGATTTCTGTTCATTAGATTCAGTTATTCTTATTTACACAAATAGATGAATCTGGTCAAATTATATCTTGTAGACAAAATGAACAGCTTAGAGAGAAAATAAGTGAATTGTGGGGTCCAGGAGCTATTCTCGATCATTCAGAAGACCTGAAAACTGAGCAGAGTACTAACCATCCAAGCCAGAAATCAATTTCAAATATCCCAGAACGCGTTGAATTACACAAAAAAGTAGAAGAGCTACAATCTGAAGTTGAAAGATTGCGTCGAGCCCAAAGGATGGTAGCAGGTTTACCACCAGGAACAAAATCAATGAATACAGATGCTATGTTGATACAAGTAAGTTATATTAGTGTTTTGAAACACCACAGTATAAATTGATGAGATTTCAAAAACTACATAGCAACTGAACTATATATTAAATGAGATGTTTTTTTAAATGGTTAAAAAAAATGCTTGAATACAGTTTATGATTTCAACAACATAACTATAACTAAAGCTTCTATGCAATAATTCAAATATCATGAAGTGTACACCAAAATACTTCATGAGATTAATTTCAATTCCAAAATAAGATGAGGTGATATTCAATTCTTTCAAACAATTACAGTTTCATAGTTTCTTATTGAAAAGAACTGATTTTCATATAGATGGAAAAGTTAACCCTATAGCAAATAAGCGAATGTTTACAAAACAGTTACATTTTCAGCAGTTGAACAGTTAACCATACATGTGATATTGAAAATGACGATGAATACGATGTAGATAATGTTGACATTATAGCCAACAACAATTGATACATATGATGTCAATTTTCAGCTAAATATAAGCTCTTTAGTACAAATTAATTTGAATATATGGAGCTAGATTAATTTATATTCTTTAGCTATATCGCTTTATTTAACCTTTTAAATGCATAAAGATCTTAATTTTTTGCTCTAAAAGTGCGGAAAATATTAAAGCCAGTGGTAGCATGTTTATGCTGTAACATTTTGTATATATTTTGATTTGACAAAAGATCTTTAATCATTTTGTCATCTCTTTGTGTTTTCGAGGAATCAAACAACCCCAAAAGTGAAATCTGAAGTTTATTTCTGAAGGATCAACATAAAATATCAGTTACTCACGTTATATCAAATAACTACATTATTTTCCATATTAATATGCCTAAAACTGAGCTCACTGAACCACTTATTCACTGCACCATAGCGACAAATTTACCAATGAGAGAATTCAAATTTGTCATTGTTTTCCTTCTCACCATATTTTATGCTTTATTCATTGTTAAGCATTAATCCAAATATTGAATACGACAAAAATGATTTCATCATCGCATGAGCTAATGCCATGACTTTTGAGAAAACTATTAATTTTTACACTGTATCAATAATTGTCTCTACGACCAAAACAGGCTGGCTTCAGGAAGTAAAAATCGTGTGCGGACTAAATTGCAATGCTATGCTTTGCATCATCACAGAATAGAGTATAGAATGACAGTCAACTCTACACCTCAACTTCATCGACTTTGGGAAGGCCTTTGACAGCGTCGACCCACAAGTAAGTTGGCAGTTGCTTCAACACTACGGAATACCACAAACCTTTACCAATCTCATTCAACAACTATGTGAAGACGCCACATGCCAAGTAATTCACAATAGGAAGCTCAGTGATGCTTCTGAAGTGAAGACAAGAGTGAAACAAGGCTGCCTACTATCACCGATGATCATCCTGATTGTAGTGGACTGGATTATGCAACGAACAGTGAGGAGCTGTGAGAAGAGGGGGATACGCTGAACCGTGGGAAAGAACCTAGAAGATTTAGATTTCACCTATGACTTATGTCTAATGTCGCACAAACTTGAAGATCTACAGGAGAGAACGAACAAGTTAACAGAAGAGGCAGGGCAGGGCAGGGCAGAGCAGCGAAGACGGGACTTCAAGTGAACGTAGAGAAGACAAAATTGATGAATATACCCGACCACCACCAACAACAACAAGAAGTTCCAATCACCATCAACGGGGGTAACTTAAAGGAAGCAGCCTCTTTCACCTATCTCGGCAGCACTGTTTCAACTACAGAATGTCAAAGCCAGGATCGAAATAACAAGACAGGCGTTCATTAACCTGAAACCAGTGTGGAGATCTTCTGCACTCAGCATGTGGAACAAGATCCTCATTTTCAACACCAACGTCAGGTCATTGCTTCTGTATGGTTCAGAGACTTGGCGCGTTATGAAAGGGATTTCCAACAAATTACAGACATTCATCAAGAACTGCCTACGCTGGTTCGTTACTGAAGATCAAATGGCCAGAATAATAAGAATGAGCATCAGGGAACTCTGGCTGGCTGGTGACGAAGCGACTAAGAATCTATCGCTGAAAAACTATGCAGAAGGAAGTTGAGATGAATTGGGCATACACTGAGAAGGCGGACTGGGGACATCAAGCAGCAGGCCAAGCAGTCGAGTGGAACCCAGATGGGAAGCGACGAGTTGGGCGTCCGAGATGAGGGTGATATTGAGGAGATGGTGCGAGGAGGAAATGAGAGCTTGTGGGCTATCATGGAGTCAGGTTCAAAAGATTTCAGAGAAGAGAGTGGAATGGAGACGTGCTACTGAAGCCGTATGTTCCATTAGGAACCCAAGGGACAAATAATAATTACTAATTGTCAAGCCTTATATTCGCGATATTGTCACCTGACATGCGACGTATAGTTATCGAAATAAAGAAAATAGTAATAACATCAGTGTGATTATAACAATCATTTTAACTTAAGGGGGGGATATACGCTTAAAAATGTTATGCAGCTGTTGCTAAATATGTACACTCCAGACGGAATTCCTTCAGAAACACTAAAAGCAGCGCAAAGACATCAGGGCACATGCTCACAACAATATTGCAGAAGGCTTAGAAGGAAAGAAGAGATCTACCTTTCAAACTCCCAGAGAAAGGAGACCTAAGTCTTTGCTAGAACTGTATGGAGTGATGCTCCTATCCACTCTAAGAAAAATATTAGGCCGCATCATTCTGGAGAGACTGAAAAAATGGTCTATGTCTAATATCACAGAAACTTGAAGATCTACAAGCGAGAAAACTAACAAGTTGGCAGAAAAGGCAGCGAAAACAGGACTTTAAGTGAATGTGAGGGAGACAAAGGTGATGAAGATATCCAACTAACAACAACAACAAGAAGCACCAATCACCATCAACGGGAGAAATCCGAAGGAAGTTGTCTCTTTCACCTACCTGTCTAGGCGCCACCGTTTCAACTACAGATGGCACAGTCACAGATGAGGATGTCAAAGCCAGCCAGGATCGGAAAGACAGCAACACAGGCCTTCATTAACCTGAAATCAGTGTAGAGATCTATTGCACTCCACTCAGCATAAAGCGTGAACAGGATCCGGATTTTCGACACTAATGTCAGTCAAGCCAGTGCTTCTGTGATGGTTCAGAAACTTGGCACCTTACGCAAAGCATTTGCGACAAACTGCAGACATGCATCAACAGCTGCCTACGCTGGCTCGATACTGAAAATCAGATGGGGACATCACGAGTCAGGCTCTCGTGTGGAACCCAAAGGAGAAGCGACAAGTTGGGCGTCGGAGGGTGACATAGTGGAGATGATGTGGGGAAGAAATGAAAGGTTATGGGCAGTCGTGGAGGCACGTTCAAAAGAATGGAGAGAACAGAATGGAATGGAGACGTGCTACTGAAGCCCTACGTTCCACTAGGAACTCAAGTGATAAATAATAATAATAATTAAAGAAGGTTTGCGGATTGGGGATATCAGCGTAATTGGCTTAGACAGTGAGTTATCTCGCTGATATCTACAAAGAAATAAGGATTCTTGCTGAAAAACTTTAAACTGAAGTGGTTAGTCTTCAGCACATTTTGTGATATTCCAAACCTGCCTTTGTCATCTACAGGTTTGTGTGATGTACTTATTATCAGCTGCCATTTTTTCCTATTCACTACTGTGTTGGCAGTTATTATGCGAAATGTTGACAGCTAGTCTTTTTAATCATGGTTGTCTACGTCTTGTATTTTTCTTGAATTAACACGTGCTGCCATTTCTAGTAGTTCGCTGTTACAACGTTTTAGAGATCAATGAAATCTCTGGACACTGAATAACTGATTCAAAGTACTGTTACTTCTGATACTAAATGTAGAGTTCTGAGAACAGCTTACGTAACAGCTTGAAGGTGTGTTTTGGAAGCACTTTCAGTCATTCAAAATCAATCAAAGCTTATTGCTGCTTCGTTCGATGTTAAGGGTATAATGTTTTAGCTGTTTGACATCACTTGTTTATCATGTGTAATCGGACATAACCAGTTAACAGCTGATGAAACCGCTGTATGTTAGTTGAGTGACTGTTACTATGAGCCACATGTTGTGCGGACAAACTATTTAAAATTTTCAATCTCTTCTGTTAGTATCAATGAAATTTTGACGATAACATAAATCTTGGAGTGCTCTTTAAATGAAGTAAGAACACAGTTAGTCATATAATGAACCTCCATGTACTGAGGTTGCTAATATGAATCACAAATGCCTAGTCATCACTAAAGTTTAGCTGCAATCTCGCTTGGCATTCAAGTAGGCTTAGCTGGTTTCCCCAGAACTTAGTCAAAATATTGTGATTATTGGTTTGAGTTTTGTAAGCAGTTGTATGCTTCTTAAGTGGACTCTTTTTCTACTTGAAAATAACGGCTATCGATTTCAAAATACGCTTATAAAATCTGTTGTGGTAGAGGAAATGGTTTCGCATTCTGTCTTCTTTATCTTTTATTCCTCTTAACTTCTGTTCATCGTAGCACTTTGTTAGGACTGAAATCATTATTATCCTAACTTTTGCGCGTGTTGTTTCCCCTTTGCTGTTTATATGAATAGCGGCTTTTTGAATAAATATAAGTGTATATGTGGAATTTCGGGTTCTTGCGGTTAACCAGAGAGCGAATAGTTATGGTGAAAAGTCTACAAGGGCGTACTTGAATAAGTTGTTAAGGTTAATGAGTTAAAAAATGAATTTTTATTTATACTGATAAGTCTATATTACAAGAGTATTGATAAACTAATTATATTGCCTTATTCGATTAATAAAAGGCCGCGACAGACTGGAAAGGTGGTGCATCGCACATTTCTTCTCATGATTACGAAATGATGCAGTTTCATTTTGCTGTGAAGGCTATTTCGGAAAGGATTTTACCAAGGAAACCAAATGCCAGATTACACAGACTTTGTAAGTGTAACCTTGTCTATCCTGTATGCGATGAGTCTTGCATGCAATGTTCATAGAAAATCAATCACATAAATTTCTCCTAAAGTGGTAAACCTAGCATGGATGTAAAGGTTACTGCATATACGTAAACTCGAAGGTGGTTACAATTCAAGACGAGTAGAAATGAATGAAAATCAAAGAACTATGTCTGTTGGGCCTCATGAATTAAATTTGAAACTCTGGAGCTTCCGATTTTCTTGCTTATAGCTTCAGCAACCATCTTGTATGCTGAATCAATTGTTAAAGTTTCCTTTCTGAATAAAATAGCAACTTAAGTTGTCTGATTACTTATTTCCTCTGCTCCAGTTTCCCTTGAATAAGTAATGGTTGACAAACCTGTGTTCATTGAAAAGTTCTTTTCATTTTCAGTTCGTCTACTTCAGACTACGATGGATGAAAATATGAAGTGAGATGAAAATCGGCAATCTGAATATGAACTCTACCTCTTTAAGGAGTGATAATGATATGAGTAATCTCTTTTTTTCAGAGTGCAGAAATGCGTAACAAAATTTTGTCAGAACGCATACAAGATTTGGAGAAACAGTTGCAAGACAAAGGTTTCGTCAGTCAAGCAAAAATACAGTTAGAACAGGCTATTCAACGTGATCTGTTGCGGCTAAATAATGAAAATATAGAAATGAATTTGAACTGGAAAATCTGAGATCAGATGCATCACGTTATAAAGTAAACTACAGTTCTTTATTAATCTTTGCTCGTTTTAACTTAGCTGAGGTTTGTACAGGTGATAACTAGTTGTATAATCTTTTTATTGAAATTCCGAAACATAAATAAATTTAACGAAGGGAAGGCATCACTACAGGATGCAACTATCAAAGTCAGTCTCTGGTTATGAGCCCTTATCCGTATGCATTCAAACGAATCACAAAATCATGCATGCATATATCATATACTTAAGATGTTATAAATGCTATCTGCATTGTTGTACTGATTATACCTCATTAGACCTATAGCTTATTATTTTACTGTTCGTGTGACGATATGCTTTCAGGTACTGAGATCAGTGCTACCCTGCGTTAAATCATGGATACCGGTTTTACCGTTTACAGATATTCATACAGGTAACACTCATATAATTTTTGAAGCTAAGCATTATCTCTCACTTAGCGGAATCTGTTGGTCTAGTATTAATATGACCGTTGCTAGTAATAAAGAAATCAAATGTGTCCATCGTCAAGACTTCATTTTTTCATCCTTAGTAATCGTTGTAACTTAGAACTGCTGCTATAAACTTGCTGTTTAAGCGGAGGGCAAAAATCGCTTTTTACCGTAACTTGAATGTAGATAAATTTTATAACTGTCGCCAACATATGTTTTTATACTAGTTTCTATGTTATTCTACCTACTATGAAGGATAATTACAGATATCAAATGTAATTATGTTGTAGTCTGACTGCCTCGAACAACAAAAGGTACAAGGATCTCCTTAAACCGGTTTTGGTTGCCTCAAATTTAATACTTCAGAGAAAAGCATATGTTGAAAAACATTGGACTGAAAGCGAGAGATTGACACTATCAAAGTCTATTTATGCTGTAAGGGAAAAGTTTTTCATCCACTCAACTTTACTATCAAAATAACTCCAGTCAACAGGTTTGAAATAACCGAGATAGGTAGCACAGACAGAGAGAACGGACAAACATCAGCTGATTTCAATGTTCTGCGTTAATCACTGTGATGTTCCAAACAATAAAAGTTATTGTTGCTACATGTTGTGTGATATGAGTCATTCTTTCTTAATAGTTATGGAAGTTTGAAAAAATAGCACAGACAATCAAAAGGTACACCATTTTCGCTTTAACAATATTCTAAATTTTTCTGGTGCTGTCTAGTAAAAATTAATCTGTGGGACCATTTTCCTTCAACTTAACTTACTGTAACATCAGTACGTAGGGATAAGACAAATAATCAAATTCTATACCAGTTATGATTACGCTTGTTCACCAGTGGCTCACTGGTAAATAAAACAGAGTGTAGAAGTCAGTTTTGCTGAATAAAGTTTATGCTGCCACTTTTTTACGGTAAACCAAAACTACACAAACCAAACATCCCACTACGAGCGACTGTTTCACTTTCAGGAACCCCAACATACAATCTTTCGAAAGAACTCTTCAGAAAATTGAAGTATCTGGTGCAACCGTGAGGCCACTCTTTCAATTCTTTGATACGATTTTTGAAACAGACCAAGGATATTCATAATGATAACGACGAACTAATGGTATCTTTCGACGTTACAGATCTACACACCTCAGATGAACCGAAACTGGGTAAGGATACAATGACATTTCTTCTCACCAATGGTACACACCTCTTGGAACACACACAACTGCAATGTTCAAATTTGATGAAATTAATTGATTTTTGCCTAAAACAGTTTTTTCAAGTCAATAGCAAACTCTGCAAACAGACAAAATGAACACCAATGAGATCGCCTATATCAAGACTAATTACAAAAGCAATAATAAGATTGCAAACTAAGATATTTGGGTCCGATACGCTGATGACACATTTGTTATCATTAAAAGAAACGAACTGAAAAACGCTTACAAAAATCAACAGCATTTCCGATGACATCAAATTCACAATTAAAAGGAAATTAAATGAAAAACTTGCATTTTTAGATGGGAAATTCGGAAACAGAAGTATGCAGAAAACCAACTCATACAGATTAAATGTTTGACTACAACAGCAACAACCCAACAGCACACAAAATCAGTTATATAAAAACATTGTTCAAAAGAGCGAAGACACACTGTAGTACAGCAAGCTTACGGAGAAAAGAAGAAAACTATTCGACGACTGTTTTCCAGAATAATGGCTACCAAAGCAACTTCATCAAAAGATGTCCACATATTCCATCATGGAGCAAGAAGTCAACCTCAAAAACTAGGGACGAATTGTCCTACTCTACATGAACAACTTCTTTAAGATCACAGCTAGATTACTGAAGCCTTTCCGAATCACTGTATCTCACAAGCCCACAAAATTCCTTCACTCTATTATGCAGACAAAAAAATGCAATAGCAAATAATAAACCAAACATTATCTACAAAATAAACTACACTTAACACTACATCGAACCGAATGGTCGTCCTCTTTGTATCCGTCTACATGAACGTCAGTGAAGCGTCGTGATATATTTTCGCTCATATCAATTCATACGTACAATTGTGGATATGAATTTGACTGCGAAAGTGTAGAAATCCTGGATAGAGGAAATACAAAGAATGCCAGAGAATTTTTAGAAGATTGGGATTCAGGTCAGTCAGCAATCAACAGACATATTTACGTTGACGTACGAGGAAACAACAAGTATGTCGAATTTCACATCAGCAGGACAACCAATAGGAATAAACATGAGGACAATGACAAGACGTTGGCAGAAACAACCAATTACATATAAGTCCATCACGACAAGCTAGTAAGCCACTTATGGAGAAAACCCTATAGCTCACTTTTTTCCGAGGTTTGTGACGATGATGTTATCTTGAATGACAATGAGATATTCAAGATTAAATCATCCAGCTCAGGGAACAAAACACCCTCAAATTGTTATGCTCAAATATCAAGGCAAGAAAAAGGTATTCAATAGAATTACTTTATATGTAGTCAGAGGTACGCCTAGGTAGCAGATATAAAGAGTAGATAGTGCGATGTATTTAAGTGGAAGGAAAAAGTCTTGTAACCGTCTGGTTCATTATCATCATGTTCTTTAAATATATACAGATATTGGCAACATGTTTTTAATAATTCAGCATTAGTTCTTGAAAACGAATTAAGTAAATATAATCTGCAGGAACAAGCTTGATTTATGATTTACAGGGGTGCCTTATATCTTAATGTTAGTCAAACCCTTTTGTGTTTTGAAACGTAAATATATTTATCACATCCATGATGACGGAAAACCCATTCTGTTTCGCTTACTGAACTTGCCAGAATATGACTAAGCTGATGAACGGTCATAACTAAGTTTCCAAGTAACGGAGTTTTTTTCTTGAAAAACTCCCCTGTACATCCAAAGAGATCAGTGGCATAAAAATTAAGTTTATTCACAAATAGTCTTTATTTTTAATTACTTACATTGATTGGTCACTGGACAGCAACCAACTTCATGTTGTCTAATCCTGATTGTTAACTAAATTCTGTCGACCATCCCCGCAGTACAGCCACCAACCTAGGAGATATCATTGTGTGGTGCTTTATATATGTTAGTTTGGGGGGGGGGGTGTTGGGTGGGCAGGAAACTCTGGATCCAGGTTTCTTGCTTCTTGGCACTAACAAACAAGACAGATGTGTGACCTCAAGGGGACTGGTGTCCTCTCTTAGATTCGAACCCAGGCCAACTACATTTTGTAGCCAGCCACATCACCTTTGCGCTATTTAGGCCATGGCTGAACTTCTATATGACTGGATTATGAAACTTGGTTGTTAATTACAGAGCGACTAAATTCACATTTTCCAATCCTGAGTGCTGGATGAATTCTGTCGACGATTTCCACAACGTGACCACTAAGGTGTTATTTGTTGGTAATTAGGATATCATGAATTTAATCTATAAAATACTAATCAGGTACATTTGACTGAAATGAAAACCACATCGTATTATTTCGTGTTTATTTAATGTCTCCACTTTCGATTTTTATCTATCTTTAGTATTTCATCAATTATACCTTTTTCTAGACTAGAATTCATGATTTACAAGTTTATGTCGATTTATTAAAACAAGAAAAAGAGGTGTTGCGTTCTGGTCAAAATTTAGATAAATCATTCAATTCCGACAGCAGTACAATGAGTAGTATAAGAAGGGTAAGTTCTCTTGATATTTGTGGTCGTAAATAATGATTAGTACCATTAATAGCATACTAACTTATTGTTTATAAAGTAAGCAGTAACGTATTTTATGTCACTGAGCAATAAAGCCTGCCCATCCAGACATAACGCCTGTTTGAATTGCCTAGCAAAGCATATTTGCATTTTGAAAGTAACACTCTTACGCTAGATATTTCAGATTTTGCTATCCTACGTAACAGTAATTCGAGTTGGCTTGCACCGTTTCAAGTCAAAAGTAGGTCTCTATTGTGTACTAGATTACTACGGCAGATGCTTTGAACCATTATGCTTAGTGATTTGTGTTCGTCACGGAGTTTTATGAGTCTACTAGACAACAACAAAGTGTGCTGAAAATTACCACTAATATTCTTAGTGTGAATACACTCCATCTCTAAGTTAGTCACTTTATTTTGCTGTCCAAAAAAATTACTAATTATAAAGCCATTCTTCTGGATATCATTCGGTTACTAACTTTGTTTTTCTAACTGAAGTAAACCGAGATACCACATATGGTAAAATAAAGTCAAAATTCATAAAACTTTAATGTCTGTAAACGTTGTTCGGTTAAAAAATGAAGACCACTAGACGCTTGGATAATAATTATTTCAAAATACCGATCGGAATCACCTGACTGGCACCTATTAGTGGCTTTTTCACTCTACCAATCAACCAACGCCTACATATATATATATCAGAACAATTTTAAACTACAGCATCTTAGATAAGTAACTGTGATCTTACTGCTGAAATATTATTGTACTGAGATATCTGGTTTAGTTTGAAAACTAGTGAGTCTTTTATTATAGCACTGAAATCATCAGAAGTGGGGAAAAGTCAACACAGATGATTATATTTACTTCTGTATTAAAGCCTTGGTACTGCACAGTGAACCCTAAGAGTAATTTGAATTAAAGACACTGCAGTTTAGTCACTGATATGAAATCGCTATGGAAAGACCTTTTCTTTAATAACCTCCATTTCCACTTAAATTGATAAAATCATGCTTCGTAGTTGTGAAAGTGTGTTTACTTCATACTGAAAGTGATTAGCCACACAGGTTCATACAGATTTATTAGGATTTCTACAGATGTACTCGATTCCCCAATTTACACTAGCTGAAGATTTTTTAAGCCGAATTATTATGGTAGTTTTTCCTAGTTCTACGATAAAAAACTGACAAGCTAAATAAATGTAAATTTTTCGTCATGAGGTATTTATTCATAATTTTATTTTTCAACAATACATATCACATCACTTGCTAAGTGGGTTTAGTAATCTACACCAGAACATCTTTTCCCCTTTGACGGTGCAGACTGATAAGTTTATAGAAAAAGTCAACAAAGAGTTTTGAGTCAGTAAAGTTTATTTGCTGTTTTCGTATCCCATAGACAATACACAAACTGAAATATCAGTAAATTATAACATATCTGTGGAACATTAAAAAAATATCCAAGAAATATTTTTTCCTTGACCAATAAGAAAATACTTGGGTCAATGTAATCTGCAGATTACTTCATGAAACTAGATAGTGATTATTTAAATCTCAGGTTACTCGAGAAGACTTTCATTATTATTCTCGATCCTTCAGCAAATGTTAAACTGAATCATTAATTACTCATTATTTGGTAAATATTGACCATGGGAACTGTTATAGTTCAGAATCAGATTGCCATGATCTACATAACAAACCTTTTTCAATCAATCATTTTACTCTAAAGTTTCGAGAGAAAGCAGATGAACCAACTTGTCAATGCCAAAGTGGTTGAACAGACAAAAAATTAATAGGACATTCAAATCTAGAAAAGCCTAGAAATAGTCAAGGCCATTGAAAGTATATGTAAACTCTTGTATTTCGCATATATTTTTGACGTTGCAATACACCTGTGTTATTTTAGCTGCCTTTCCACTTATTGAGAAAAACTGAGCGATCATCAAGGAATGGAATGTGGAGGTTATTGTTCAAGCTTCTTCACTAAAAGAATATGATGACTGGCGACAGGATATAAAAGAAACTTACATCAGCTTCATCATACTTGATTTTTTTCTGATTACGAAGTTATTGAAATTAACCAGCTTATGAATAAACTATGCTGATTATAAACGGAATAATACCGTAAAATGCCGTTCACATTTTTCTGTAGACTCCTTAGCTTTTTTCCGACTGATGTCCTGAGATACTTTACCTGATTCGTTATTAACAATATGAAGGAAAATAAGACGATTAGTTAGGCCTAAGAACTGGAAAGCTTAGGAATTAAGAATAAGTACAGAGAATGGTAAAGTTGATTCTGGCTATAGAATTTGATTTTTATGATTGTCATTACGCAACGATTCATTAATAACTTTTTTTTTAAACTGATTAATTTTTTCGAAACACATTTCATTTGCATGGAAATTGGAATACGTAACAGTGAATTAGAATTGCGTAACAAAACCAGACCTATCAGTGTTTAATGATGAAAACTGTTGCTCTAGGGCAAAATACTTTTAGCAGACTTGTAGAACTATCATTCTCATCTTCACCTTAAATGCCAAGTATTTATCTTCTTGTTTCTTCTGTTGTCTTAAAATTCTTTAGAAACTGCTACATAATATAAATCACATATTAATTCAGTTTAGGTTGTATAACCAATTATGATTTTCCAAACGTTACATCTTTTAAAGCTTTCAGGTTACTTTGAACCCGAAGAAATATCCTTAACCTCCACCATACCGTCATCATGACAGCAGAATAATAATTTTCTGATGTTTATGCAATCAACAGAGAATATTTCCGATTGATTGAAGTACGGAAATATGCATCAAGTGATGCCGACATAGCATATGTAGAACAATTTACTGCCTGCAAAAAAATTAATATCCTCTGTTCATTTTTGCGTAATGTTATGGAGATCTACTACTAAAAAGTTTAAGAATGGGATAAATAGTTGTCTTTTATTTCTTTTCTTTCCAAAGCTATGTAGTTAGGCGGCCTAATTAAATTTTGGTCTACCAAAAGTATTTCATAGAATATGTTTTATCAAACTGTTCTAACCATCCAAATACTAACTAATCGTAAAACATACTCTCGAGCACTTTCTAACTATCTTCAATATATCGCTAGATGGAAATAACAGCACAACCACAAGAAAATATCACAGTAGACGAGAACTGACCACTTAACTCACAAAATTGCATCATCTAGTTACTACAGAAACATGTAGCTGGAACAATAAATTTTTATACTGAATAAATGAGCCTCCATCACTAAACTTGCATGTGCTTTTCTATCCCACACAAGTGCAACAAAATACACACTAGATGATGTGTATTATTGACTATCGTATTGTTATTATTAACATTAGTTAAATGCCATGGTTATTTAATTTGAAAACATTGTACAAGCAGTGTATCTGACGAAATATCACACCAGGAATTCTAAAAGTTGTTTTCTGGAATAAAGTGGTCGTTATCACTGTAAAAAGTACCAGTTAATGATGAGAATTACTTCTATGGTCGAGTTATTATCAGTTGCATAAGTTTATTTATATCACTGATATACACTTTTATAGATTCGTCACCTTGGTTAAACTGTATTTTACCGATAAATCAACTCAAACTATATTCATTTAGAACCAGAGTAATATAAAATCTCAACTAACTGAATACATAGGGGAAGAAAAAAAACACTAGTACTTCTTTTCCGTGATTTCATTCTCAAAGCTGTACATTTACAAAATTCATGCATTTTTCGGTTGTATTCACTACATAACTCGCTTGAGCCGAATGGTTCTCACTTCACACGCAACATCGGAAATCAGTTTGTAAGAGTAAGAAAATGTTTCACCTCATAACTATGGTTTGTTTGCAACAGGTTATCACTGATTTTGACCAGTATGTGTTACTTACTAGCTTTGAAATAATTAGGCAGTAAATACGCGGGAATGTAGTTAACCCAAGTTACTTTATTGTTTGTTAGTATTAATTTACTGCAGAACTTTCCAGCTACTTGTAAGTAGAGCAGTGATGTGATCAAGCATATCTTTGAAAGGTAAACTACACCCAGTAGTGAAATTGTTTACACTTAAGTTAGTTGCAGTTGATAAGCTTTGGATAGTTATGAAATCTAAAAATACTTTGTGGCATTCTGTAACCTGTATTGAGTATTCATGGCTTGTTATGTTTTTAAAACTGGGCTCATCTGTTTTTGCGCTTATCCCATTTCAGTTACTGAATTCTCTAACTGTAATCAACAAGAATTCTCTGATTCTTGTGAAAGGATTGAAAGTTTGTGAATTTGTCAAGTAAAATGATATACCTAATATAATGTATTTTTAAAGGCATATGTATATTGACAAACAAGGCGATAACGTTAAAAAAGATTATGAAAACACCTTTTAAAAGTTATTGTGAATGACTAATTGATGTAAAAGTTACATATCTATACAAAATACAGAAGAAATACTAGTTTGGTAGGGAAGAAGGCGAATTTTTTCTCTGGGTAAAAGATGAAAATTAAGTGAAACTTTGGTTTTGCAAAATGTTTTGAACTTAAGCCTACCTACCAATAAGTACTGAAAATAACCTAAAAAATATCACTGGTTTAAAACAAACTAACGATTTCTTAGAAGTCTGAGCTTTAATAAATATTTTAATTATCCGCTTTTTCAATATCACTTAGTCTATAGGTTTTAATGTATCTAACGTTTTACAGAGATGACTGATTTAACTTTTCAATAAGTTGCTTTTTATTCATTCACTTCTAATAAGTCTGCCATTCACACTTTTTATTGCAATTTTCACAAACACCGATGTTAAACAGCCTTGAAGAATATGTGAGGCAGTGATCTGTTGTCTTGAGATAAACAAGCAATTATAATTTTTAGCTTATATACACTATGACCGCAAGACTTGTTAAACCTAAATATTCTCGCTTGTTTTCTGAGTTTATTCAAGAACTGCTATTTACATGGATTGGTAACCGCAGAGTAACGTAT